GGAAGCTCTCTTCTGTCGGCCTCTGAGGTGCTGGATGACAGATGTGAACCGGCACACTTGGCTGATTCTCCCAGTGGTGCTCACTGCCTCCTGCCAGGCATGGTGGCACACACTTGTGATCCCATCAGTAGTCCGAGGCAGGAGGGCCCAAGTTTCAGGCAAACCCGGTCTACATGTTGAGTTCCAGGCCAGCCAGAGCTACTGCATGAGACCTTGTCTCAAAACAAACAAAAACAAAACAACCAAAAGTAATTCACTTCCTCATACACAGATAGAGCTGCACAGCTCTCTCAACAGTTAGTATGTAGACAGCTCTACAGAGTACACTATAAACACTCATGAGGGTGACACAGGGCTCTGCAAGAATAAGGACTGAGCTCCGATTGATTCTCAGCACCCATGTAACAGCTGGGTGTGATGGCCACGTCTATGATCCCAGCGCTGGGCAGGGATGGGGACTGAGGGAGTGGACTGCATGGATACAGTGGATTTCCAGAGCTCAATTGGCTGGCCAGTATAGCCAACCAATGAGCTTTAGGTTCAATACCAGACCGTGACTCAAAAAATAAAATAAGGTGGAGGGCTAGAGATAGCCCAGTGGATAAAACGTGTCTGCCATGCAAACATGGTGACAAGGTCTGACTGAAACTGGGTGGCTGTGGGTCTTCCTCTAATTCCGAAGTTCAGAAAGCAGTGGTAGCTGGCCGGAGAGCTGGCTGGGGTAGTGTGTGTGTGTGTGTGTGTGTGTGTGTGTGTGTGTGTGTGTGTGTTTGTGTATGAGAGGTTGCAGCTAGCAGGAGAGCTTGCTCATGTAGCTACAGCTGAGCTCTGTACTCAGCGGCGGTGAATATGGTGGAGCTATCCAGGAGGGCTCCTGATGTCAACCTGGAGCCTCCACACACATGTAAACATGCATGCATATGTACCACATACACAGCAAGGGAAGGGAAAAGCATTAGACACACCTAACAACCCCTGGCCCATACATGCACACACACATATGATATATACCGAAGTGTCTCAAAAGATGTATTTTCCAGAATACACATGGAATAGCTAAAGCTACTAATGGCTGCTTGACACCAAACACAAGGGTATTCACAGAAACCTATCTTGGATTCAGAGGCAAGTGGCACAGGGAGGTGTGGCATGTGTGGGAAAGCGGTGCTGAGGTGAGCTGTACAGACACCGGAAGTTCTGAGGCCCGAATTGACAGACTCCACAGAAGCTTCAATTCTTCCTCAGCTTGAGCAGGAAGAGGGCCGCCTCAAGCTGCCTTGGCCAACTAGTCCTGTTGCCCCATCCACCATCAGGTCAGAAAAGCTGAAAAGCCACATCACATACATACCTGTAAGTTTTTCTCTCTCCACTGACGCCCAAGACTTTGTCCCAAGGAGAACTGGAGAGAGCAAGAAGTTGAGAGAAGGAAGAATTCAGCAATAGAACCCTGCTGGGCACAGGTCAAAACCCGGGAGTGAACTTTCATGTTAATTACTTTACATCTTGAGGTTCCTAGGATGACTTTTTCGTAACGGACTTCCTCACCCGGGGTGGGAAGTGACAGGAACCATCTCCTTCAGGCAAGTCTTCAGAGGCTTCCTACACTACTACACAGGACCTTCCAGATCTGCACACAAGACGGGGTTCCACTGCCTGGCTGTGCAGACCATCCACCTGGCTGTGCAGTTCTTCCCGCCTGGCCAAGAAACCTTTCTTTCCTCAGCTTGACCAGAATTAGGGGCCCTTTTCCTGGCGTTTCACTCCCTCCCCACCAGCACAGCTTTCGAGCTGTCCCAGGCAGGCAGTGTCTGCATTTATCACACGCTCGGGATGGGGGTGGGGACGAAGGCAGCTGGGACTCATGACAATCAGGTTAAATTCACATCATGGTCCACACAACTTCCATTAGCCACAAGAACTCTCTTCCTCGATGTTCTTGGCCACTTCTCTGGACACCGCAGTCCCGAAAGGGGACAAGTGCAAACCTAAAATGCTTCTGTCTACCTGGCCCACTCCGTTCTGTTCACATCTGTACAGCTGAAGAACTACACACCTGCAATGTGGAGCCCCCCCCCCCAAAAAAAAACCTATCACCACATACCTCATGGACGTCTGTTGCTGTATATAGTGATTAACGTATGTCTTTTCAGGGGGTGAAGAGGACCAAACATCCTTTGAGATGCTCAGTCAGGCCTGGTGGCCCACAACTGTAATTCTTGAACTTGGAGGCAGGAGGCTTACCATGAGTTCAAGGCCAGTGGAGGCTATAAAGCCAACCCTCACCAGCCACCTTCCAGAATGCTGGTGTTCTATATATATAAAGCATTACTTTGTCACAGCCATTCACCGTTATTGACTTCTTTTACGTTTGAAGGCCTGGCCAGCAAACTCCACATCTTCCAGTTTCCGCCTAAGGGGTGCTGGAATCCACCTGCCTGTTTCCAGAGTGCTGGGATTAAACACATGCACCACTGTACCCTGCTTCAACTCGGTTGTTTGTTGAGAATGGGTCTATGTAGCCCAGGCCATCCTAGAATTTGGTATGTAGACCAGGCTGGTCTTGGACTCAAGAGATCTAACTGCCTTTGCCTCCCATGTGACAGGATTAAAGGCTTGAGCCACCATGCTCTGATAAATTTAAAACATCAATTCTATTGGGACAAAGTAGTAGCGTACACATGCCTAGGTGCACGTAGAGATCCGAGGGTACTTGTGTCCACAGAGACAGGTGTCCCAGTCCAGTTGTCCCCTGGAGCTACAGTGACTTGCAGCTGTTAGCCACATGATATGGATGCTGGGAACTCAGGTCCTCTGCAACAGCTGGCCATGGTGGGTGGCTCACGCTATAATCCCAGCACTCTGGAAGGCAGAGGCAGGCAGATCACTGTTAAGTTCGAGGCCAGCCTGGTCTACAAAGTGAATCCAGGACAGCCAAGGCTACACAGAGAAACCCTGTCTCAAAAACAAAAACCTGCCAGGTCCTCTCCAGCCAACTCTATTAGTCTGTGTGCACCTGTCCTGGCAACACATCAGCTCTGCTTCCACTATATGGGCTCATGGACCAATTCAGGCCCTTAAGCTTTGCAGCATCGCTCACTGAGCAAGGCATTCATTCACCAATCGTCCAATTGCTTAAGAATTTTTAATGGTGCTTTCATATTTAATTATGTCTAGGTGTGCACGTCTCTAAGTGAGTATGTGTACTTGAGCATAAGTGGTCTCTGATTGGGAGCTCAAGTGTTAGAGGGTTAAAAGCCACCTGAGTGCTGGGAAACCAAACTCAGGCTCCCTGGAAGATCAGCAAGTACTTGAAAACCAGAGCCATCTCCCCAGCCTACTTGTATGGCTGTGTGCTGGTTATTAAATATTTTATAATCTGTGTATGAGCGTTCTGTCTGCATGTATACTGGCATGACAGAAGAGGGCAGCAGATCCCATTATAGATGGTTGTGAGCCACCATGTAGTTGCTCAAAATTGAACTCAAGACTTCTGGAAGAGCAGCCAGTACTGAGCCATCTCTCTAGCCTCATTGCTAGTTTTTTATGTCAACTTGACACAATCAAGGGTCATCTGAAAGAACTTCAATTGAGAACATTCTTTTAAAAGATCAGCTTAAGCCTGTGGTATATTTTCTTAATGACTGATGTAGGAGGCCCAGCCCACTGTGTGGTGCCACATCTGGGCTGGTAGTCCTGGATGCTAAGAAAGCAGGCTGTGGGGGTAGGAGGGGGATGGCACACACCTTAATCCTAGCACTTAGGAGGCAGAGGCAGGAAGAGTTCAAGGTAAGCCTAGTCTACAAAGTGAGTCCAGGACAGCCTGGGCTACACAGAGAAACTGTCTTGAAAAACCAAAAAAGCAGGTGGAACAAGTGATAAGCATCATTTCCCTCATTACATCAGTTCTGCCTCCAGGTTCCTGTCCTGATCTCCGGGAAGCATCAGATGAAACCTCTTCTTCTCCAAGTTGCTTTTGGTACTTCATCACAGCACAGAAATCACAAGGCTGGGCATTTTGCCTGCATGTATATCTGAGCACCTCATATGTAGCTGGCACCCAGAGAGGTCAGGAACAGGTTTTGGATCCCCTGGAACTGGTGTTTAGATGGGGAGGAGATGCCACGTGGGTCCTCATGTAAGGGCAGCCAGTGCTTTCAATCACCTAGCCACCTCTCCAGCCCTCTGGTGTGTTTTTGGTTCTCTGTGTGACAGCCCTGGAACTTGTAGACTAGAATGGTCTCAAACTCAGAGATCCACCTGTCTCTGGGACTGAAGGTATGTGCCACTCTGCCCAGCTTAGGCCTTCAGTTCTTAACTTAATGTTCCCTCGTTACTGTTTTCAGGGTGCCTCTCTGTACCCTACGCAGGGAGGCCTGTCACTCTAGCTGGCAGAGATGTGGCCCCGTACTGCCTGAGTAAGGGAGTTTGTTGCAGGGCTTCAGAAAGGACCCCTGGAGGGACCAACAGGTAAACTAAAGCACCTTCCTCCTCACAGAGCCTACTTGTTGACCCCAAACAGACTCTTAAAGCCACCTTTTGTACCAAGGGAGGCCAGGAAGGCGCTGTTTCTAAATAAAACTAAGCTGCATACAGCTGCTCTCCACAACTCAGGGGCCTGTAAGCATGCACCCACTGGCACTGAGCTACACCCTGCATTTTGCTTCCTTCCCCAAACACCAGGGGATGCCAGCTATTAGCAAGCCAATGGGTCAGTCATATCTAAACCTTATATTCCCAAGGATGGGCAAGCCTAGATCCTTAAAGATGCAACTTTTCCCTCAGGAAACTTCCTTTGGAGTCCCAGCAGATCCCTACCCTAGCCAATCTGCCCTTTGCAGCCGTGTACCACGCTGCTCTAGATTGGCAGTGTGAAACCATGGAGAGCTACAAGTAGGGCACAAGGACAAAGAGCTGCCCTTCCTGCAATCAGTGGTTGCCATGGTGACAACACAAGCATAGGGCACCTGCAAATAAATGCTGAGGAATAGTCGGCACACAGCCAAACTTCAACGACCTTTTATTATTCTGCTCAGGTAGGGCCAAGTCCCTCACCAGCTGGACCCACCAGATCTAGATAGACAAAACTCAGTAAACAGTCTCTCAAGAGGGGACTGAAAAACAGATGTACCTGCCTACCTCTTAAAAGACACAACATTCTCCAGTGTTGCAGAAAAACATGATCTGTGTGAAGTCCATAAAAACCAGCAACCTGGGGTCAGGTCACCCACAACCACATAGACCAACACTTGGCTGTCTGATGTGAGAGGACACGACACCACAGGCACTAGAAGAAAACTACCCAGCCTCATTTAAAAACAAATCAAACCTTTCCCTCTGCTTTACTCAACTTCACTAGCTGCTTAAGGCAAAGACCAGGACAAAGAGAAGGACGAGGACAGCTATCCTCCCGAGCCCATGAAGACACGCGCTCACCCCCTTTGTAGTCAGGAAGCAGATTAATTTGAAGCCAGATTTAAGACCCGGCTCCTTGCAAGACAGAGGGCCATCTGAAGAACACATTCCGCCAACTCTATAATCTCTAACTCTAAACTAAACAGCAACAGGCAGCAAACTGCTGATCACAAAGGTGCAAATCCCCCTCCAGCCCCAGTGCAGCCCACGGAGGAGCAGGTCCGTGTCTACTGTCTCTGACAAGCCGGCGTATTTTAGCAGCCACCTTGCCTGGCCCATGACAGTTTTAGAGATTGCTCCGTTTTCTTCACTCACACGGAGAACTTCAGAATAAGCATTTTCAGTGACTTCAACTGGCCAATGCCTCTGCAGTAGCACAAAAACCCGCAGGCTCACAGCTCCTTCCAGTTGATGGGCTTCTTGCCAGATTTCTGGAGCAGCTCATTGGCTTTAGAAAAGTGTCTACACCCAAAGAACCCTCTGTACACCGACAATGGGGAGGGGTGAGCCGTCTGCAGGACATGGTGATGCTTCTGAAAAAGAACAAGAGTACAATGTGGCAGCTGGCACCTTCTACTGAAACCACGGCCACCCCAGCTCAAGACAGTTGTGCATGCCCTGCCAGGCCCACCTTCTAAAAGTGTATTCACGGTCGCCTGCTGGGCTGAGGCTTGGGCAGCACCTGCAATGTTAGGTGGCCACAGCCTATTATCTAGTCACCCCTGCTCGGAGTGCATTTAGGGCACATTTGCTGAGCGTGCCATGTGCCAGGCAGCTCAGAGTTGCCTCACATGGGTGTGGAGACTGAAACAGTGGTCCACGGTATGTTAGTGCCGAGCCATCTTCCCAGTTGAGATCTATCCCTACTGGAACATAGCCATGAGTCCCCACCCTCAAAAGCCGTTCTCAGATTTGACATACACCAGGTTCAGACTCACTGCACAGACACCCGGGGCCCAGAAGCCCTTACTTGGCAAGCCTCCTGGACTCCCCTCTCCTTCCCACACCCTCCCCCACCTCTGCCCTACCATCTATGCCCACCCGCAGGCATCACTACAGGGAGCTGGCGCCCAGCCCAGGAGTGAGGGCGGGCAACAGTGAAGCAGCGTTGGGACATCTTTAGGGACACGGGTGACTGGATCCACGGGTAAGGCAGGATTTATGGGGAAGAAGGGTAAAGAAGGTTCAGAGGACGCTGGCTCAGGTTCTCGTCTCTGACTCGGTGGACCAAGTACCCAGTCTTGAAGCAGAGACAGGGAGGAAAAAATGAACAGCACTCTGGTCCTGACAGGGCTGTGGGTGTTTTGTCTCTTACAGCAGTGCTCTGGCCTAAGGACTCACTGCACATGGCACTTCTGGGTAATCCTATCTGATTCAGTGGAATCCCTGTTTTCTATATGGCCCCAAGTTTCTCAGAAGCAGGACACTTGCCTCATTCATCAAGCATTGCAAAACAGGTAAAGGAGGGGTGTCAGAGACTATGGTGCCCTCATTATTTCCAACTGCAGTGAGGCACACGGGGCACCCCACTATGCCTGAACTTGCTCAGCTGTCAGTGGAAACCCGACGCTAATCATGATGGACTTCACACACACATGGTCTCATTGATTAGCCCAGGCTTGTCCAAATTCATGGCACCCCTCTCATCTCACCCTCCTAGGCAATGGAGTCCTGTAGACTTCTGCTGTGTGCAGAAGCAGGGATGCCAGGGCAAAGCAGGTGGAAGACACATACCCTATCGATGGCACTGCCCTTCTTCTGGGCATAGGAGCCCCAGAGGAGGAAGACAAGGCCATTCAGGTTCTGATTTAGCCAGGACACAACAGCATCAGTGAATTGCTCCCAACCCCTCTCCTTATGGGAATTGGCCTGGTGGGCTCGGACAGTGAGGACAGCATTGAGGAGGAGGACACCTGTGGACACAGCGGGGAGGAAGGTTAGGAGGAAGCCCAAACAAACTCTCACGGGCTACACAATCACAATAGACCCACAGCAGAACTGAAATCAGGCCATAAAAGTGTTACAATATGGCCGGCAGTGACCTCTGAGCTGGATTCAGGACGTTCTATTCATGATTGCCCCTTTGGCATCTTCCAGTTTGGGGCAGTAAAACAAAACAAAACAGTGTTCAAAAATACATATCCTACCTAAGTGATATTAAAGAACCAGAAAAGAAAATGGGCCCCAAATAGTTGATGGCAACAAACCAAACTATCAGAAGCTGAGAACAAACTGCCAGGAGCAAGCATACTGAAACAAGAGTTTCTGAGAATAACAGGCGTACAAGCCTCCAGGGCCTCACCAGAGCCCCTGCTATAGTATGGCCAGCCTTAAAAACACAGCAATGGGAGCAGAGATGACTTGGCAGTTACGAGCATATAAACTCTCAGAGAGGACCTGAGTTTAACACCCAGGACCCATGTTGGACAACTTACAACTGCCTCTAACTCCAGCTCCAGGAAATTATTTCTGCCTTCACCAACACTAGCACTCACGCACACCACACACACGCGCACACACACAATAAATTAAAAGCACACCAACAGGTTATCGGCGATGTTCCCAAATAAGGCCAGTTAGATGTGGTTACCTTGTCTGGCCCACCCTGACAAATCCCCATGGCCAGGATGAACGAAACCATCGATGTCTGTAGACAGCTCTTTAAAAATGTTTTCCAAGCTGAAAGCAAGGAGAGAAAAGCATAACCGATCAGAATCTCCAGCTGTTCCTAAGCCCAACTTTCCAAAAAGCCAGCCTGGGAGGGACACGGCAACTGCAGCATTGGAGGAGAGACAAACCCCCACACCCCATCAGGTCCCCACACAGACCTGCCAGCGGTCTGCACTCAGACTGAACTCACTTGGAACTTGGAAGCCTACTGACAAGTAGAGCGGTCTCAACCACCTCTATTCCTAAGTGCATCCAGGCCCCCCAAGCCGTGCCAACCCCCAGTGACCCAGTCCATAGCAACAGTGCCACCTGTGATCCGGGAGTAGCTAACTGCCCCTGGACTGTTGCCAGCCACACCGGGCGGTACCTGGGCGGAGGTGGAACTGGTCTTTGGACACTGAAGCACAGCCCGTGAGCTTGATTAGGTCCGTGGTAGGGATCCTGCCCCAAAATGACAACCTTTACCTGTAAGATTAGACAATACTGTATTCAGTTCAAAGGAACACACGGTGGACACAACAGAGCCAGTCACCACCCCACTGAGGAACCCAAATGGAGCGGCCCAGTGTCACAGTGACGGCCCAACCTTCACTCAGTGGCCCACTTAAGACTAGTGGTTCAAGCAGAGGTCAAGTCTGGTGTTTCTCTTCTTCACTGCTCACAGAACAAAACTTGTATCAAGTGGAACCACTGGGAGAGACCATCCTAGGCCACCACAAGTTAGCCATGTTCAGGGGTGGGAGAGGTGGCTGTTGCAAGCTAATTGTTTCTTCTTACCTATGTAATAGAGTCCCTGTCGCCCACAGCCCCACCACCTTTATAAGTGAGAATGTTGAATGGCTAGACACTCTGCCATTTTTGTGTGCCTGTCAGTTCTAAGTGTGGTGGCCCTTCTAGGCAGTCAGCTTGTCTCTCATTATGTGAAAACACTGCCGGGCCAAGGAAGAGCCCCACCTAAGCCTTGGCAGACCTGCATCAAGATCGGTCCCAACCACTGCTGCCCTCCAGCTCTGAAGAACACTAAGAGAATGAGGGCGGTGACAGGCATGGGAGTAGCTGGCAAGCCATGAGGACATGCCACCTTTCTCAGGTGTTGAAAGTTGACCTCTGTACACAGACCCTGTCTTGTCTTCTCTCCCGCTTCCTTGTTCTTTCTGCAATTTCATGTATGGCTAGCACCCCTTGTCCCCTTCGAATTCAGCCTCGGGCTTTTCCTGCCCTGTTCTAGGACTCCGGAGGCAGGCCCTGCACAACTGGACAGAGCACCAGGTTTCCCCGAGCCCGTCTGACCCAACACAAGTCCCGGCCAGGCACTCAGAAGACCCAGGTGTCTGAGAACTCAAGGATGAGGAGCCTGCTGCAAGGTTTGCTTGGGCTCAGGCGTGGCTGCAGCATGATGGCTTGTACATGACCTCACCTACTTCACAGCTCCTGGAATAAAATGTTTACTAACTCAATTCTCCGGGGCCACCTATGGTGACAGAGGAAAAAATAAACAAACCCTCAAATCCCCGCAGGCAAGCAGACACCACCTGTCCAACAGGCTCCACTGGCCCTGCCCGACGAGTAGGTAGACAGGGGTGGTCCTGCACAGCAGTGAAAGGCAGGGGCAAGGCTGCACGCTCAGTTCACACTAAAGTAACCTGTGGGTAACTGACACACAGGAGCTGGAAAAGCCAGGCGATAGGTGAAGAGCCTGCAAGTGGCAACCAGGCCTCTGGACCAACTGAAACACAAGCTTACTTTCCAGAAGTAGAGAACACTGACGGGCAGACCCTGGGGAGGATGGGAGGAGCCAGCAGGTGGCAGGAGCAACTCCTAATGCTCTAGAGCACACTAGAGCAGCCAGCTGACAATTACAGATTTCAAAATAGTTAAGAGGGAGGACGGCAACACTCCCACTACAAAGGGCTGGAGAGAGAGCGCGACAGCTAAGAGCTCCCGCTGCTCTTGCAGAAGACCTGGTTTCCCAGCACCCACCAGCCCTCTTCTGGCCTCCAGAGGTATGCATACACTGCATACATGCAGGCAAAATGCATGGAAAATTTACTAAGTATGAGAACAACAAAAACAAACAAGGACAAATGTCTGGGGTAACGGATGTGCCAAATGGACTGCAAAGTCACCCTGCAAAGCATGGACAGCCAGTGTGTGTGGATTAACAGAAAATATGGGGTGAGATGGTTCCATGGGCACAGCTGCTCGATTCCGAGCCCAGTGACCTGAGCTCATTCCCAAAACCCAACGGTAGAGGGAAGAGCGGACCCCTGTAAGCTGTCTTGATACTGGAATGCGCTGTGGTGCACACCCCAAAATGTAAAAAAAAGTAGTTAAAAAAGAGAAAGGAAGAGTGATCCTCCAGTTGGGCTAGGGTGACTATAATAATTTACTCTGTTCACCAGAGCACTTGGGAACAAGGCAGCTTATAGGGAACGACTCCATCTGAGATGCGCCAGGGCTATAACTCAAGCTACTGATGAGGCGTCGGCGGCGAAGCACGGTAACCCCGAGTTTGACCCCCCAGCACTGCAAACACCAAAACAGAAAAACCAAACCAAACCAGGTGTTTCCCTCACCCCAGACAGGGTTTCTCTATGTAACAGCCCCTGGCTGTCTCGGAGCTCACTCTGTAGCCCAGGTTAGCCCTGAACTCCAAGAGAGCCATCTGCCTCTGCCTCCCCAGTGCTGGGATTTAAAGGCATGTGCCACCACAGCCCAGCTACACTGGAAATTTAAGGTCAGCCTGAACAACAGTATGTTCAAAGCCAGCCAGGGTGACTCCACATGAAAAGGACACAACACAGCTCAGTGGCAGAGCATCTGCACAGCCAACAACAACAAAGGCAGGGGCAGACAGATCACCACTGAGTGTGTGGCCCTCGATGCCCGAGGCAATGCGGACTCCCAGTAAATCCACACACCCAAGAGCTTAAGCAAGTGTGGCTTCAGGGACCACAGGGTGCATGACACTTGGGTGAAGGTTTTTGGAAACTGATTATTCAACTTGTAAGTGATCTCCTCACTTACTTATTCTTTGCCAGTTCTGAGAGTCTGGATGAGGAAGACAGAAGTCCTAACACAAAAGGGCTACCAAGAGCTCCAGTCATCCAGCCTGGCTCAAGGAAGGTTGGCTAAGAATGAGCCATTCAGATTCACACAAGCTAGGAGGCAACCAGAATCAAGTGCTCTGGGCCAGCCTCCCTCCCTCCCTCCCTAAGATGTAACAGCCGTTGAAGTAGTTTAGGCTCCCCCCCTCCCCAGTGCTGACAGTTTGCTGAGACCACAGGGCTTCTCTTTGCCTTCCCCCATAATGCATTACAGGAACAGAAAGACCCTCCCCCTTCCAGTCCCACCACCTACTCAATAGCCTAAAATAACCTTGCAATACATAACAAAGGAACAACTTAAAAGGTGAGCTGGGTGTGATGGTGCAGGCCTACAATCCCAGCACCAGGGAGGCAGATCTCTCTGAGTTAGAGGCCAGCCTGGTCTACAGTGAGTCCCAGGACACCAAGAGCGGTGGTCATACAGACAAACCCTGTCTTGGAAAAACAAAACAAAAAAAGTGTGTGTGTGCGCAAGCAAATATGTATGTGCATTTCCTTATTTCGAAAACATTTTTAGTTAAAAGGGCAGACCGCTGGTGACACACACCGTGTGCACGAGAGTGCGCTACAGCTTTCCACCCTGAACACAACCAAACCTCACAACCTCGACATTCCCCATCAAACTGCCCTCGCCATAACACTAGGAGTGCTCCCTAACCAGACCCCAGCTTCACTTACATCTCGGATGTCACACATCTGGGTCCATGTGAACACCTGCTCGGGGGGTGGGTAAACCTTGTGATGTTTTCTTTCTTCAGCAACAAACCCCATTAGCTGGTTTAAAAGATAAAGGAGACTTACAAGCGGAATGGTTTTAAAACCTTTTCATAAGACCTATTTGAAGCCTCATCTTATCTTTGAATGATTAAACACAAACTTTTTTTTTTTTTTTTAACATCTGAAACCAGCACCTGCTCCCCTCTGAAGCCACTTCGTCCCTTTACTCTGGGCTGGACCAAAGTTAGTTGCCCAGCTATTTTCATTTCCCAGTGACTCCGCCCCCCTTCCTTAAAAAAAAAAAAAGGGGGGGGGGCAGTCTCTTGTTGCCCAGAGCCTCAGTCTTCCCTGATTATAAAAAAGCCAAAGGTCATTTCATTCCGTCTGGTTGATGGTTGGCCACTCCCAGGGTTTCCCGGCGCGAAAACCAAGAAGCCTGGAGGGCCGCTGGCGCCAAGCCCGCCAACCAGAGTGCAATCCCCGGGACCACGTGACAGGATTCCTGCGAGCTCCAGGCGCCCTCCTCCCAACAACAAACGGAGCCACGGTGGCACCGTGGGCTCCCAATCCTCACTCCCACCCGAACACCGCGCGGCACGGTTAGCTTCTGCACGGTGGAAACCCAGGAGGCTGGAAGAGCAGCAGCCGCGAGCGCGTGACGCGGCCCGCGCTGCCCCCCAGACCTGCCAGGGCCCTGTGCGCGGCGCGCGCCCACCCACCTTGACGAAGTACGGCTTCCCGAACTCGCCGCCGAGCTGCTGCTTCCAGCTCTCGCCGAAGCCGGCGGGCACGTTGCGGGCGGCGAGTCTGAGCAGCGCCGCGGCCTTGTTCCTCTGGATGCGGACGAGCTGCTCGGCGCTGAGCGGCGAGGAGGGCGGCGTGGCCCGCTCGTCCTGCCCCAGCCGGGCCTTCTTGGCGGGGCTGGCCTGCCAGGAGTCGGGGTCGGGAGTCAGGCTCCGCGGCCTGGCCCCGCGCGCCGCGCGCAGGCTCCGCACCAGGCCCGCAGGCCGCGGCCCGAAGACGCCCATGGCCGAGCCGAGGAGCGGGGCTGAGCCGCGCTGCGCCCGCCTACCCGCCCAAGGCCCTCCACGCGGCCTTTTCGCGGCAAAACTGCTCCCGCCCCCCGCCGCCTGTGATTGGGCCGCGCGGAGGGCGGGGCAAGCGCGCTGCACGCCGATTGGCTGTCCGGCGGCCGAGCCCCGTGCCCATTGGCGGGTGCCTCGGCATGGCGGCCGGCCGCCGACACGCGCGGCTGTTTTGAACCCCTAAGGTGGCCTGGCCGGACAGGGTGCGCGCGCTCCTGCCCGGTCCCCGCCGTCCCCCCAACCTCCCCCCGGTCCCGCGCTGCCCCGTGCGCCTCACCGCCGCATCCCCGCCGTCCTCGGCCGCCACGTCGCCCCCCGGGGCCGGCTCGGGGCTGCGCGTGCTCCGCTTCCCGGCGGGGGTCGGGGAGAAGAAGGAGTAGAGGGTCTTCTGGCCGATCATGCCTGCACCGGGGACGGAGCTCCGGGACACTTGCAGCCGTGCTCACCGTTGGCGCACAGCCACCGCGCGGGATCCCACTGGGGGCGGGGAGGCTGGCCGGGTCGGGGGGCGACGTTGCCCAGCGCGCATGTGTGGGAGGGGCTGCGGCACCGCCCCTGGCAAGGTGGGGCTTGCGGGGTTAGCAGGGCCTGCTGCCTGCCCAGCCTTGTTCAGATAACACCTCCCTTTTGGGGATTGAACAAACTTTTCCTCCTCCCCAGATACGCCTCTCTTTCGGGAATTGAACTCGGGGCCTCTGTGCATGCTGGGCACCCACTTGACCAGCGAGCTCTACACCCCCTTGTGCTTTACCCTCCCACATTCACACCTTCCTGGGAGCGGTGGCGCACGCCTGTGATCCCAGCACTCTGGGAGGCAGAGACTGGCGGATCGCTGGCCTGGACTCACTCTGTAGACCAGGCTGGCCTCGAACTCACAGCGATCCGCCTGCCTCTGCCTCCCTGAGGGCTGGGATCACAGGCGTGCGCCACCGCGCCCGGCTCACCCTTTACTCTTTGTCCTCATACCTGCAAAGCTCCAGTCCGGGTTTAAGGCCCTTCCCTGTAAGGTCTTCTGCGCCCGCCGCCCCACCCCAGCCTGCTCATAACTCCCACACTGTAAAAACGATCCTATTTCTTACATTGTCCTTTTTCCATCTCCAGAATACAGTGTGGGTGAGGCAGGACCTGTGTCTTGCGGGTGTGCGCCAGTGTCCAGGACAGGAAGTGCTCTTCGCTGAGCCCCGTCTACTCCAATCGGCGGCAGTTCACAGACACACACTTTCCCTCTGGCCGAGAGACCCGCAGCCATCCTCCAAGGCACTTTCTCAAGTGAAGTAAACGCGTCATTCACAGAGAAGTTTGAGCACGAATGTTTATAGTGATTTGGCAGTGTCACCTCGAGCAAGAAACGACTGTCACGCGGTCTTTCCATGCCAGCAATGAAAGGGGGAAATTGGTGCAAATGTCGTATTCGTTCATATATAATACATACATAATGTTTGTACTTGATGCTGGAGATCAAAAACACGGTTTTATCTAAAAGCACTATGCTTGCAAAAAGAAGTCAAACGCAAAAGACTATACAGTATATAATTCATTACATTTGTTGGGAATTCTGGAAAGAGCAACCGGGGACAGCGGACAAAGCAGGGAGGGGCATTAAGTCGGTACCTGAGGGAGGATTTTGTGGGTTGATGTGATTGCTCCCCATACTGATTGTGGTGGTCAAACAAAGCTCCCCCCTACCCCCAACAGTATCCCAGCTAGGACACAAGGACACTAACCTGCGTCAAAGTTGTAGAACCGTCAGGTGATGGCAGCGTCCTGCGGTGCGCAGAGTGGCCCGCAGGTGGCGCTGCTGCCCGGACGTCCTGCGCAGACGGGAGGGGCGGGGTGTGGGCGCCTGGAGCTGCGAATGTGAGTGTCCTGCGGGGCCCTCCCGCGGGACACCGCTCCTGACTCTCCCGTGGAGCACAGCTGCTCTCGTGTCAGTCCCTCCCCGCGGGGCGCAGGACAGGGGCACCTTGCTTTTCTGGGTAACTCTGGGCGAACCCCGTGCTTCTGCGCGTGCGTCTTCCCATGTGTTTTGCAGCCAGAACGAAAGCGCCGGGTGTTTAACATTCCAGGGCGGGCCTGGGGCTGCGCGCCTGCGAGCCCAGCAGCTGGGTGCCCGAGGCTTGAGGATTGGGAGCTCATGCTACGAAAACATAAACGAAAGAGTGGGGTTTGCAAGCTCGCCACCTGGTTGATGCCCGCAGGCAGTGCCTAGTGCTTTTAATGCCCTCTGCTTCCTTTGCAGGACGCGCCTGCGCAAGAGTGTGGAGGACGGAGCCCAGGCTCTCCGCGGCTGTGCCGGGTGACCGAATGGACAGGTTCCTGGTGAAGGCGGGCCCGGGCGACCCCCGGGAAGGAGGGGAGGAGCCCGCCCCGACCGGAGGAACCTCGCGCCGCTTGCCGAGCCCCAGCTGGCAGCACCTTCGCGCGGAAGGTCTGAACTGTGATTACACCGTCCTGTTTGGCAGAGCCGAGGCAGACGAGATTTTCCGAGAGCTGGAGCAAGAAGTGGAGTATTTTACCGGTAGGTGGAGGGCTTAGGTGCGTTAGGCTTGTGTGAGGAAAGAAGGCTCCTGTGTTGGGAGAGGCGTGAACCTAGGCTGTCAGGTACAACCTGGGCAACTCCGGGCTTGGGACAGGAACTATCTACGAGATGTAGCACCAAGTTACCTGGCTACTGATTGGAATTACCTGGGAGGTTAAAAAAGGGACCAAAAGGAAAAAAACAATTCAGACCATTCTGGGTTGTGATACTGATTCAGAATAGCTGGAGGTTGCAGCTTGGGCCTCAGTATTTTACCAGTCCTACGGGCCAGTGGTACAGTGCACAAGACCCCAGGTTAGACCCCCAGCATTGGCAAAAACAAACGAACACACTCTTTTTTGCAGCCAAGCTGTGCCTGGTCTAGTAGGAGGGACCACAGAGAGCCAGGTAGTTACTCCCTGAAGGCTGGGAAGTTGACCTGCAGGCCTGCTGCCGCTCAGAACTCTGGCCGCCCCAGACCCTGGCAGTCCAGTGTCTGAGGAACTGCAGGTGGTGGTGATGCTGTTGCCTGGAGACCACTTGTGGGGGTGGGGGGGAGAAGCTGTGATGTGGAACTTGCAGAGACAGCTAGACCGCCGGCCAGTGAGCCCACAGCAGCGGGGTCTGAGGCATAGGTAGCACCACCTCTCCGCAGACGCCTTACCAACAGAGCCACCTCTCCTCGCCTTTTGTTTCGAGTGATGAGACTACAGGTTCGAGCCACCATGCAGCAGTCATGCACCGTTTCTGAATCCTGGGGACAAGCCACAATGACTTAGAGTGAGAGGCCCCAGCGGGCATTATACATGAGGAGCAGAGGAAATGCTGCTTCTAGACCCCTCACTTCTGAATGCCCAGCAAATGAGTGTATGGGACTCAGCTGTCTGCAGCCCCTGAGGGTCCGGGATGGAACTGCCGTTTCTTCTACACAGGTGCACTGGCCAAGGTCCAGGTGTTCGGAAAGTGGCACAGTGTTCCCAGGAAGCAGGCAGCCTATGGAGATGCTGGGCTGACGTACACGTTTTCTGGTCTTACACTGACCCCGAAGCCCTGGATTCCAGTTCTGGAGCGCATTCGAGATCGAGTCTGCAGGGCAACAGGACAGACCTTCAACTTTGTGTTCATTAACAGGTAACACTTCCTCCAGGGGGAAGAATTTGGGACTCCACATGCTGTGTTCATCTGTGACAACCCTTCTATAGTGGCCGAGGCTACAGAGGTGGGCATTCTGCTCATGCAGAGAACCCAAATTCAGTTCCCAGCCCAGCTCCAGTGGATCCAACACCTCTGCCTACATGAGTACCTCTACTCACATGTGTGAACCCCCTAGCAGGAGTACCTGAACTCAAGGCATGAACACACGTGATTATGAATCTCACAGATCAAATGTAGGAGAAAGTGAGTGGATTGGGTAGGGTTATGGGAGAATTAAACAGGCTGACTGGATTGAGTGAAGACAGGGAGAGTTTGGGGCAGGGACTCAGAATGGGTACACTCCTGCTGTTTGGGGTCAGGAAGTACTTTGCTGTATGGGCTGACCTGTGTACTAGGATGCTCAGTACATCCCTAGCCCCCACCCTGCTTCCACCATATCAGCCAACGGGGAGAGGAGCACGGAGGGCAGGGCCTGCACAGGCTGAGCCAGTGTACGTGGGGAGGAGTACGACAGCTTTTCCATTCACGAGCCTGGTGACTGAAGGTATGGCTGCTTGATGTGTGTGGTCGGCGGGCATTACAAAAAGTAGCTTCCCAGTGTCCTAGTCAGTACTCTGTTGCTGTGAGGGGGACACCGGGACCACAGCGACTTTTACAGAAGGGAGCGTTTAACTGAGGCTTGCTTACTGTTCTAGACAGTCAGTCCATGATCATCGAGGCATGGGAACAGCAGCTGAGAGCTTTACATCCTGATCTGCAGGCAGCCGACACACACACACACACACACACACACACACTGGGCCTGGTATGGGTGGTTGAAATCTCAAAGCCCAATCACAATGATGTATTTTCCAACAAGGCCACACTTCCTGATTGGTCCCAAACAGTTCCACTGGCTGGGGACCCAGCGTGTGCACCTATGAGCCTATGGGGCATTTCTCACTACCACACCTGGCAAAGCCACTTGAGGCTGGGCTCATGGCCTCCCAGGCTAGGCACGGACAAAACGGCACACTGCTCTGGGCTGCAAGAGGATGAGGCACCTGCAGCCTTAGCAGCTGAGGGAGCAGTTCCTTCCGGGTTATGGTTGTTCCCCACTACAGGTACAAAGATGGCTGCGACCACATTGGGGAGCACAGAGATGATGAGAAAGAACTGGCCCCGGGGAGTCCCATCGCGTCTGTCTCCTTTGGAGCTTGCAGAGACTTCCTCTTCCGGCACAGAGACTCTCGAGGGAAGAGACCCCGGCGGACAGTGGAAGTGGTCAGGCTGCAGCTGGCCCACGGAAGTCTGCTGATGATGAACTACCCCACCAACACCTACTGGTACCATAGTCTCCCCATCCGCAAGAAGGTCCTGGCTTCTCGGGTCAACCTGACTTTTCGCAAAGTTTTACCTACTAAGAAATAAAACGTTTATCTTTGTGTGTGCGTGTACGCGCCCACCTCGTAGTACAGATGGCCAGGGAGGCCAGAAGAGGGTATGAGATCACCTAGTTACAGGCAGTTTCAGGTCCCAGCTGCTGGGAACCAAATCCAGTCCTCTGCAAGAGCAGTAAGCGCTGACTGCCGAGGCAGCTGTCCAGCCCTAAAACCTACTTTTAATAGTCAGTACTTTGCATTTCTCTTTTTGCCTGAAGGAGTTGGTGTTTGCTTTACCCACAGAGCACACAGGAGGTTTAAAAAAAACCTAGACAGCGCCCGGTTCAGAAGGATGCCATGTGACATCCACAATAAAAGAACCACTAGGCCTGGCAGGCACTCATCTTTAACTGCATTTCTCAAGAGGCAGGGGCAGGCTATCGACACAGGATTGTGCGGGTAGCTGCCTGCACATATACCCTGTTTAAAAAGATTAGAACCCACCACTCCAGTGTTTCCTAACAAAACCGTCTTTATTGCTATAGTACACAGCAGATACAAAAGTGCTTTAGCAAATCCACACTCAGCAGCCTACAGTGTAACTCTAGCTTAACTTAAGTTTCTCCAGAAAGAAGCTACCTACTGTGAATAACTTAAACTAGAAATCGTCATTGGTTACTACCTAATAATTTATGAAATGAAGCACGTTTGCGCTCGATCAAGTTAACACATTTTCAGCCTTGGCTCACACCCTGGCCTCTGACCAGTGTCCCACACTAGTCCTTTCGGCCATCTCTCTTCCCCAGAAGGCCTCGGGATGAGTGCAGGACTGAGGACTGGAACCTGTAGCCTGGAGAATGCTCTAAGGTCACGAGTGATGGAGCACTGTGGTCACCTCAACCTGCAAGCCAGGCCTGCAGGGCCACCTGGGCTGGAGCAGGCGGTTCCGCTGTTCCCTCTGCAGGAGCTTTGGCGTGGAGGTCCAGCGCAGCAGTCTCAGCCTTGAGTCCTCAGGGTGCACGGTGAGACCCGATCATGTGGTCGATGCCTAGGCACATCTGGAATGTCTGCCAGCTTACGCCCACAGAAAACACGTCCTTGGCCTTACCTCAGTGACCTTGGATAGGTCCAGTTCCAAATCTTACATCAGAAGAGGGTTTGCATTTGGTTGTTTTTAATTACAAACTTAGCTAACACACAGGTGCTATTGTGCCATCAAGATTCCTCTATTCCTGGCTATCTGAGACTTGTCCTGAAAGGAAAGGCGGCCCGGTGTACTCTTTGCTTAACGAGGTCACTGGAGACACCCACATTTAGAATATGGTCCTAGAGTCTAACCGCAGGATGTATCAGCCTCAGTTCTGTCCAGTCGTGCTGCTTTCTTCCTCACTGTGGGCTCTGACTGAGAAAGCAAGGTCCAGAGAGACTGTAGCCCTGGGTCAGTGTCTTTCTTCCAAGCTCAGCTCTCAGGTCACCCTGCCCAGGTTCTTGCCTTATAAACCCTGTTGTGGGCAACAACTAACAACCTGAAGAGAGCCATCTTCTGCAGCAGGTCAGCAGGCAGCGCAGAAGCCCCAGCTTTGGAAGAGGTCACAGCCTCTCTCGTCCAGGGTGGGCTTGGCAAGCAATCTTGACAAAATAGAGAAGCGAAGATTACAAAAGGCATACCCAAAGGTGAGGAGCTGTTCTTGAGGTTTTTGGGAGGAGACAGGGTTTTATTATGAAGCCCAGGCTGGCCTGGAATTTGCAGTGATCCTCCTGCCACAGTGCTGGGATTCCAGGCATAAGCCACCATGCTGTTTAGGCATCCTTGAACTGTTCTTCTTAACTCTGAGGAGCTTGGAAGGTCAAGGGCTTTCCCAACATTGTGCCTGTGACTCTTAAGTCATGCCCGTTCTCACAATAACCGGAAGTGAAAGGCACTTTTTCTTCTGAATTGTTGCCTTTAATAATTTCAGTAATTGTTGTCAATGCTATTTATGGGCCTCCTTATTAAAAATAAAGATCTATGCTGAAATGTCAGGGATTAGACAAAGAAGACCCCTCTGAGAACACCTAGCATATTACACTATAGAAAAGGTGGCTTCTGGAATCTGATCCTTTAAATTACCTGTGTCAGATAAGATGCTCTAGACACAGAGGACGCCTTCTGGTACACCCTGGCGGCACTGTGTGGCACTGTCTCCGTGTGGAGCCTCTTCTCAGAATGCACAGGAGGCTGAGGGACTCGGGGCTGGCCTGTCACTCCTCAGACCTGTATTCCCGCTGCGCCCTGGGCAGAACTCGCTCATAAAACAGCAGGTAGGCGCTGGAGGACAGGACCTCCTGCAGGCTGGCCTTGCGGACGGTGTCGTCAGAGATCCACAGCCACTGATTGCTGGTTGACAGAGGGTTCTTGGCTGAAGGCGGTGACCGTCTGTAAGTGACAAAGTGTCCCGAGTGCATGTCTCCATGGTGGACGACAACTGCCATCAAGCGGAAGAGGTATGTGGAGGAGCTGGTGGGTGGAAAAAGACCAGTTGTTTACCACAGAACCAGGCCTTGCAGGCAGAGGCAAAGCTTAAAAGACCCCATGTGTTACACATACTATAGGTGAGTGTGATAGTTCATACAGCTCCATGCTTGAGCACGGCAGGATGAGTACTGACTTCGACACGTGCTTCCAACAGGGATCGCTAGGCTCTGCACTGGCTGCGCAGTGCACAGTCCCAGCAAACACCCCTTCACATTTCAACACGTGCACACACACATGCAGGTTTCATGCCCTTCCATAGTTTTTACTTTAAAAAGGTTTTCCATGTGGAGAACAATGGATTAACAATGTTACTCCAGGTGGAAAGCCTGACCTGGACACAGTGATTGGACAGTGGACTCAGCAGCTCTCCTCCTCACCTGTAGTCAGGAACCACTGGCAGAGGGAAGGCCATGGGTGAAGGCAGGGCTGGCAACAAAGATGGGGAGCAGGCGCCATTCATAAAAATCTGTGTCTTGGGGGGCCCTGGCTGACTCAGACCTGTGAGAGAAAAGGATCCAAGTTCACAGAGATGGACGGGTGACCTGTACACACAATTGGTTTTGAGTTTTGTTCAATTGCACAGGGTCATGCACTGCAGCCCAAGCTGGCTCTGAAATCCCAGAGAGGGTCAAAAGTCAAAAGGTCAAAGCAGTATGGTTGCCCCACACTGTCTCCCCACGCCTTTCCATCTGTGATAGCTTTTGTTGTTGTTGTTGTTGTTTCTGAGACAGAGTTTCTCTGTGTAGCCTTGTCTGTTCTGGACTCTCTTTGTAGACCAGGCTGGCCTTGAATTCGCAGAGATCCTCTTGCCTCTGCTCCCAAGTGCTGGGATTACAGGCGTGAAGCACTGCGCCTGGCTATGTGATAGCTTTTATTTTGTTTTCACATTGTGAAATGTACCATTATTACATGTATACATGCTACACGCGTGTGTGGAGGTCAGGAGACAGCATGCAGCCTGTTCTCTCCTTCCACCTTTCCGTGGCTTCCAAGGATCACGCCAACTTGCTGGCCGCATGTACTTTACAACCACATGTCTCATTACTATGTAAGTTTAGCTCTTTAGGCAATGCTGGCTGGGCCGCAGCTCAGGGAGAGCACTCGCCTGGTAGAAGTGAGGTGACTGGCTCCGACCTTTGTGGTGCACAGGAGAAACACCAAGCCCTTCCCTTCCAGCCCCCAACCCTGCTGCTTTGATGTTAACCAACCACCACACAGCCAGTGTGCCTGTCATAATCGCCAGAAGCGGGGACACCAAACTCTCTGTGCAGAGCCCCACAACACACACCTGGCTTTGGGGCCGCTTGTGTGTCCTGTAGTTCCAGGGCAGCCCCGAGGTTTTCAGTGGCTTTGGGGCCATGCTGACTGGGTTTGTGTCCCAGGAGGCGGTACTTATAGAAATCCATCATCAGGAACTCGTTGAACTGCACGTGCTCATGCCGCTTCAGGGGCGTGCCGTGGCTGGACCAGCTGAGCCGCTGGAGGTGGATGCAGAGGCACTGGGGCAGCTGTGGGCAGAGGGAAAGAAAGTGCTGGAGCAGTTAGGAGCTGACAGTCCCTCCGCCCCTCATGCATGCCGACCACATGCACAGGTGGACTCACCTTCCCTAGTTTTAACTGTTTAACGAAAGTGGTCCTCTGGTGCTCCACCTTCTCCCCATTCAGGGTTCCTTTTGCTTCAATCTGCAATAAAGCATCGGCATGAGTCCTCGGGGTCCCAGGAACTGACACCTACTGGAGCTTCCATCCGCAGCTGCAGGCTGGTCTCCCAGCTTCCCCTTAGTAAATAACAGGAGCCATGGAGGAAAGACAAAGTGGAAAAACCAATACTGAAGTGGGAAGTTCTTAGATTTTTAAGATTTCTATGGAGAGAGGGATAGAGAGCTCTGTCTCAGCAGTTTAGGGCACTTGTGGCTTTGGCAGAGGATGTAGGTTTGGTTCTGAGCACCCACACGGCTTACTTACAACCATCTATGACTCCAGTTCTAGAGGATCCAATTCCCTCTTCTGACTTCCATGGACACCAGGCACTCACATGGGGCACACACACACGTGCAGGCACAGCACTCATATACATAAATAACCCCAAAACCAATCCTATGTGCACTCCGAAGGCCTTCTCTTCCTCTTAACCCTGTGTGCTTCACTCAGGAGTCACACTTGAGTAGCTTCTGGGGACAATTCTGGACATCTTGGACCTCACTGCTCAAGAGAGCTTTAGTGGAGTCACCAGGCAGTGTGTGCTGATGGTGGGACTGGGGCAGAAGGCGGATCTCAGCGCCTGAAGCCGCTAGAGGTGCAGCAGCAGGCACATCTGCACATGGACACCAGAGGGCGTCCGTGAGCAGCATCTGTCCTGCCCTGCGGCTGCTCAGCAACCACCCCTGTAAAGCAAAACTCCCCATCAGGAGTGTGAAGGAAAGCTCCAGGTCCTGAAAATTCACAAGGATGTGCGAGGCTCAGGGAGGTCACTGGAACATCCCAAGAGGTTCTATCAATGGAACAACTGCAGGGAAAGAGGAGACTTTTCAGTGGCGCTGCCTGCAGGCTGAGCATCCACTCCGGGGATGCAGCTTCTGGGAGTCATCTACTGCACAAGTGGGCTGGTTGTGTTTGCTTGGTTTTGGCTTGTTTTTTTGGCTTTGTTTTGTTGTGATGCAGCGGCTGCATGGATTCACCCCTCCAGCCCCCAAAAGTCTACGTAACATCTCTTCTGGATTCGGAAGGAAGCCTGGCACAGGTGGGACGTATACATAAGACAAACGGGGATGAGAGAACTACACTGCGGTGCATATGTCTCAGCTCTATGCACAAAGCTTAGAGCTTTTCCTGTAAACACTGTGGGGGGAAAAAAAAGCTCGTCTGGAGACAAAGCTGTAGGCAGCCACTCTGCAAGCTATGGCCAGGACGGCAGTGGCTAGTGTCGGGCAGAAGGTGACACTGTGTAACACATACCTTCGTGCAGTTGTCACACACCACATCTCGCACAGACTCTGACGAGATGAAGTGATGGAGGCAGAGGTCCAGGGTCAGTGGGTGCCCCTAGAGCAGGAGCAAGCAGTTAGAAGAGCTCACAGGAGGGCTCCGCTGACCCCATGACAGGTGGCAGGCAACCTCCCAGGGCTGGGCTGTGCAGCACACGGCATCCAGCTTTGCAGGCACACCTGCACACGGAGCTATCTCAGAGTCTGAGATCCGTGCATGATGCTCGAGTGTCCAAAATGGAGATGGCGTCACCTCTCTCCCACCATCAGGCCCTTATCTCAGAGGTAAAACAGCCTAGCCAGCCACAGGTCTGAATGACACTTACTACCTGGGCCGCATAAGATGCCTCAAAGCCCCTTGGACTGAAAGGTGTCCAGAATAGATCCAAATAAACCACAGATCGGTACATACCCAAGTGGCAGCTGGAATGCTGAGAGAAAGGCTGTCAAAGGTATCAAATCGAACAGGGCTCTGAAACAAATATTGCAGAAAACCCAGAGAGCTCAGATTCAAAAGATGGAGCAGCTTAGTGCTCATATCCAGACGTTAAATCAACACAGTGCAACACAACGCACAACGTTAATCAGTAGCATGAAGACAGTCCGAGAGTGTGCTCCTGGCCCAGAAGCTGGGGGATTTTTAAAAATATCCTAAGAAACTGCTACCAACGACCAGGATTTCCATCAGTGCCATTGAGAACACCAAAAACAGGAGTAGCTGAAGCCTATGGAGTCCACAGACAACTATGGATGTCCACGGAGTGAAACTGTGTAAACAACAGTAGCACAGCCAGGCACAGATGGCCACACTGTGTTAGGAAGCATCCCTGGGGAAGGTGACGGGTGGCTCAGGCCTGCAAGCCCTGGAAAAGCTCTAAAAGCAGGACCATTTGGATGGCCAGAGATGGGAGGAAATCGGCTCCTTCCTTCCACCCATCTTGCCTGACCTTCTTCCTATAAAATGCTCTCTTTGCACTGTATTGAAATTTTTCAATAAAAAAGGTTTGAACCCTCAAATGCAAAGGAAAAGCCCCCTCGCACTCATCAGATCTGCCCTGTCATCATGAGCAGACAGACCTCAAACTTAGGACCTGAAATCCTGCGACTGACAGCAGCTCTGCTGCTCTCGGGGCAGATGGCCCTACCCTACAGCTAGTCCCCACTCCCTGGGCCCTCTCCAGCACCCTGACTTAAGCATAGCCCCCTGTAATGTCATGGATGGACATGCAGTCACTTACTTGGTGCTCACAGTGTTTGCAAACCATGTTACTGGTGAGTCTTCCGTGGAAAGGGTGTTGGGACTTCCAGTGATTGGACGTGGGGTGAGGAGAGTCTAGAATGCAAAGCACCTTTTGACACATCACATCACCTGGGACCCACAACCTCACCCTCAGTACAGAACAAATACTCCTCCTCAAAGAAAACGTTGCTATGTCGTACAGCAAGGCCTTCCCTGTGCATTTCCAGTCTCCATCCTCACGGAAAAACCTTAAGGCCTCTGAATATGTCATGTACTGTGGGAGCAGACCCTGAAGGATGCTATGTAAGACCTACAGATGCGTGCCAACTGTTTAGAGAGGGCAGAGGGAGGCACAGGTGGTCCATGAAGCAAGGTAAGCTCTGGAAATAAGCTGAATAAACAAGCTCCAGAGAACTGATTGCCCCTTGACTAGGATGAGGTTAGTGCACAAACGCTTGTGGGAAACACTGAGTGAGGTCGAGTCTGCTTACTAGTCATGTGACCAGGAGAGTCATTTCATCTCTCCACCTAACCTCTCTTTTTGAGAAAGAAAAATATGGTCCCAGGCTGACCTGGTACTCCCTATGTAGCCATGCTAGCCCCAAAAAATCACAGTAAATCCTCTTGCCTCAGCCTCTCAAGTGCAGTGTTACAGGCGTGAGCCTGACTTGGCTTCTGGGAACTTTAGCTGGTGGAACAGAGGTAACCGCCCCAGAATCAGTGTGAGGTCTGGTGAGAAGCTGTGCTGCCCTGCTGCTGCCTGGGACCCGCCTGACTACACACCCCCAGAGGATGTGCTGACTTCAGGTCTCAAGAAAACAAAGACTTCTCAAGAGAGCTGACACTCTGTAGAGAAAGCTGGCCAAAGTAGACATGCTGAAGGAAGGACAGATTCTGTTTACTGACTTTTTCCTAGGACCTAAGATTCAAGCCAGGGAAAAGCCTTTGTCTGCAGTAAGAGGAAGTGGTAGGAGGAACCTGAGTTGGGCTGAGGTTGGAGAGCTCAGAAGCACTCATTCAAAGATGTTCCCAGTCCTGAGCAGGTGCTTGCAGGCCCAGCACAGGCCTGGCTCAGGCCCAGCTCAGCCCTGGCTGGACACCACCAGCAAGAGAGACAAGGGCAGCACACTCCTATCTAAAGGGCATACCTTTCGTTTTCATGCCTTCAAAAATACACACTTTATTAATCAAAAATTACTACCTCTTGTGTGGTACGTGACTTGTCTGGGAATCATTTCTGACTGCTGCTGTAGGGAGAAGAGAGAGAGACTGAAAACCCGACTGCAGCCCATTTAACCGCCCTCACCTCCCGGGAATCTTACAAGTTTCTGGGCCAGCTGCATCAAACCCAACATTCTCCACAGCCCACCATCCTGAAGGTGGCACTGACCCACCTTCTAGTTGGTTTCTGCATGAGTTCCTTCATGGTGGCCACAAAAACATGCTCTTCTCTCTGGGGTATGTTCTCCCCACCACCACCAGTCAAGTGTTATCACCTCCCTAAACATTACACGGTCACAGGGACATGAGCACAGAGAACCCCGTGGTCCTTGCTCCTCTCTACCGCAGGGAGAAACAAGCCATTCACTCCTGGAGCACAATCCAGGCTGAAGCAATGAATCCTCTTAAAGAGCCGGCCACCCAAGGGAAGCGTCCTGAGGTCTGCCAGCCTCACACCCTCTGCTCAATGGCTCTTCCATTCTCGTGAGCACCTTGCTAAGACTCATGTCCTGTACTGACACACTGATGCTGGCGACATTACCTCCAGGGAGTGTACATCAAACAGATGAGTGACTCGAGGCTGGCGGTCCTGCTCATCCTCCAGTGATGAGGTGATGACATGGAACAACTCGTGGGCATCCTATCAAAGGACAAAGTTTCCTGCACAGAGGCTCATGAGGCAAAGCCAGGTCAGAACCCAGGCCATGTGCAGCACACAGACCTGACCCTCACCGGGCAGACTGCTTTCTGTTTTCTCAGGCTCCCAGTCAATGGAGGAGACCTGCAGCTAACTCCAGGGGGTGATTGCTGTAGAAAACCCAGCAAGATGAACACAACACAAAATTAAATACCTCAAGCTTCTCAGTACAGCAGTAGTACTGAGCACATTCAGAGGCTGTACAACCAGCACCACCATCCATTCCCAGCTGAGACTCCAGACCCACCAGACACTAACCTGCACCCACTCCTGACACCACCTCCTGCCCTCAGTAGTCTGATAGCACATGAGGAAGCACAGCGCCACTACTGTCCTGCTTCTGAGCCACAGCATTCCTCTGAGCACTGTCCTCAGTTCATCCACAATGCAGCATGTGGCAGAGTTCTGTTCCTTTAAGGCCTATAGTGCAGTGTATAAAAATTTTGTTTGGGAAGATGGAGAGATAGCTAAGTGGCTAGGAGCACCAGCTGCTCTTGCAGGGGACCTGGGTTCAGTTTCCAGCACCCACACGGTGGCTCACAGATACTTGTAACCTTAGCTTCAGAGGATTTGAGGCCCTCTTCTGGTCCCCATGGACACCAGGCACACATGTGGTACACATCAGGCAAAATACTAAACAGATAAATAACAATAAATCTTATAAAGTGTTGCTGTTGTTTGGGCTGAAGATGCAGCTTAGTGGTTGGGAGGGGAAGCCCTGGGCTCAGGGAAAGGAAGGTCCGCCCTCGTCTCTTCGCCCACTGGTGGGACTTGCAGTGCTCTGTTGGCTTCTGTGAGGGATTCACGTGTATGAACGCACAAATGCCTACTTCTCTGCTTGCAATTTTTCGAACTCACCCAGAAGTGGCAGTACTGGGTCCCATGGCAGCATGTGCCTCAAAGGATCTACTTGAAAGACCTCCTCTCCAAAGCTGGGGGCTGCTCAGCTGCTCTGTGGCTCCATCTCTCCCTCTCCCAGGTTCTGGGCCCTGAGGCGTCTTACCACATATGTTTGCAGTGTGATTTAAACTGGTAAGAGCAGATCCCATATCTGAGCTTAGCTTTAGGCCAGAGTAATCAGCTCTTTCAGTTTTTATTTATGTTTGGCTTTCCAGTGCTGGTGATGAAAGCCAGACCATGTATATGCCAGACAAGCTCTGGACAGTGAGCTAACCCAGCTTCTGAGTGAGGCTCTGCAAGGTCCACACCCAGCTCTGCCGGCCAGCTCTACAGCAGAAAAGGCCCCCACCCCACCTGTGCACAAGGCCTTCTAGAAGAGAATGAGGGCTCCACGTGTTCCCAAGAACCCTTGCCTCAATGACAGCTCCAGGCCTGCTTCTGTATTCCTACAGCACGCCAAGCTCACTCTAGCCCCAGGCCTGTCCTGCCCTTCACCTGCCTCCCACTCCCCTTCCATCCTTCAGGCCACTGGTGCACTATTCACGGCCCCACAGCCCCTATGTGCACCCTACTGGGCTACAAGTGCTAGCCCAAAAGCAGGTGTAGAAGACACCATTAGCCAACAGCATAGCTCAGCTCTGTCAGGAAGGAGAAGCAACCAAGAGCCGGCTCTTGCAATAAGCTCAGGCAGACTGTGTGCCAGTCTGCCAGCTACCTGGACCCTGAGGAAAGGGGCAACACTGCAAAGAGGGTGGAGACCTAGTGTGAGCTTCAATGCCAGACCATTTCAGTCCTGGCTCTGCCCTGACACAGCAGATGACAGGGCACATGACTCCTTACAGGCCTGTCATGGGGCTGCAGTCAGGTAACACATATGAATGACTGAGCCCAGGACATCTCCTGTGGCTCCTGATTTAGACACAGAATGGCTCTGGAGTGACTAGATGGCCAGACAGTGCTAATGTGGGCAAGACCAAATTCAGACAGATGCTCTGCCTGTTTCAAGGGCAAGAGACTAACAGATGCTCCCTCTTCCCTGTGGCTCCATCTCATCAACTCCTGCGCACTGACCATCTGGGAACAAGTCCCAAAGCTGGCTTGTCTTAAGTAGGTCCTTGACAGAAGAAGGGTGGGACTTAGAAAAAGTAATAGTGTCCTTGGAGACTGACCTGAGAGTCACTGTCTCAGGTGAGACACGGGGAAAGACAGCTGAGTCAGTCCAGTAGCTGAGAGTCACTTCCAAATGGAGATGGAAACACATTCTAGCACACAGTGCAGCTAGCAAGATAAACCTCCACAAAGACGCACATCAGCCACTTTGTGTTGGAACATGGCACAGGGCTTCAGATTGGGGAGGAACAGGAGATAATCTGTAAGATCACAGGGTGAAGCCCCTCCCTCTCCAGCCCATGTGGAAGAGTCTCTGCAGGGCTGCCTTCCTTTCCTCAGCTCAGCGACTGGATGGTGACAGCACACACAGCCTATACAAAGCAGGCCCAGGCCACCTGGAGATGCAGCTGGGACAGATGTGTGTGGGGCCAGGGAAGCTGCAGCATCTCACTGCTAGGACACAGTCCTGCTGGCCTCAGCCTTGGAGTGGCTCTGGGAAGCAGTGGGCGGGAGGGCAGCATGCCAAACTAAAAGAGCACAGTGAAGTTGCAGAAGGGAAGGGCAGTGTCATGAATGGAGCCTGATGGCTGTGAAGGGCAACCTATTCAAGGCCTGCAGATGGATCTTCTAAAGCAAGGGTAAGGGCTGAAAGAGGGCATACATGAACCTCTGGTTTTCTCACAACCTGAGTGCAAAATCAGTGGAAAGCCAGGAGTTTTTCCCTTTTGGCCACTGTTTCCTGCCCAGTGCCAGCATCTACCCACTAAGTGGCAGGGAGTACTGTGCCCTCTCCAAGCAGGACGGCAGTGAGACCCTAGTGCTCACACAGATGTCTCAGAAAAGCAGGACCTGCAACAAGGAGAGCACTTGCCAGGCCCATGCCAGGCCCGGGCTTGGTCTCAGCGGTGTGTGCATGCACCCCCAGCCCCGGGGGAAAGGGCTCTGCGAGCTCAGCCTGCTGTCTGGAGCACTCACCTGCTCTTCAAAGGAGGAAATCTGCCACCTGTACATCCTTAGGACATCCAGGAGGCAGCTGGCATCTAAGACCTCATCCTCAGTGACTTCCTGGCAGGACAAAGCTGGGCAGGAAAGGAAGACAACAAGAGTCAGTGTTAGCCCAACCGGAAACACTGTGCAGTGCGGCAGGCAGAGGGGACAACACTGCCAGCTCCCTGGCGTCCTTTGGAGCCTCACACACTGCTGAGTCAGCAAGGATGCACCTCATGTTTGATGAATGAATCTAACATTTCAGGAAGCTACAAATTACCATCACTGGTAGAGTGATGCTGTGAGTCAGCTGCGTGTGGCCTGAACTCATAATTCTCCAGGGAGAAGGGCACTCACTAGTAGGCCAAGCCTAGACCCAGCATGGAATTCCTCTCCCCAGAGCTCTGCTCTTCTCAGCCTTTGCTCATACCTAAGAGTTTCTGACACCAGGTGCTGAAGGAGCAGGTGAATAAAAAAACCCAGCTAACAAAAACGAAAGTTGGGCTGGCATAGTGCTCGGGCCAGTCCTAGCTACTAAGGATGTTGAGGTGGAAAGATTTCTTGACCCCAGGAATTTGGGACCAATCCATAATAAGATCCCATCCAAATACAAATAACAATGAAAGTTGGATGGGCTAAGGATTCATGGTTCTGTCTAGGCCAAGGGTCAGCCCCTTTTCCCTCAGAGAAGTATGCTTGTCACAACTACTCCGCTCTGTGCATGAAGCACAGGTGCAGCCACAGAAAAACTACACACACAGCCTGGGTGCTGAGAAAGCTTCGCCAGCAAGACAGGCAGCTCCAGGGCTGATCCGAAGGGTTTCAGGGCACTTGTTGCTCCATCATGAGGCCTGAAGCACCTGTAACTCCCTGAGCCATCTGGCGCCCTCTCGTGGCCTCCAGGGATACCCATACAGATGCACACAAACACATAAGCAATAAAAATACATCTAGGCTGGGTGTGGTATGGCACAACTTTAATCCCAGCACTCAGGAGGTAGAGGCTAACGGATCCCTTTCAGTATGAGGCCAACCTGGTCTACTGAACTCCAGAAGAGCCATGGCTACATGGTGAGACCTTGTCTCAAAAACAAACAAAACCAACACAGAGCCCTAGACTGGCCCCGGCCACAGAGTGCTGGCTGTCATTCTGATTGGAGGATTCCCACAGCACCAAGCAGGAGGCCAGTGTTGCTCAAGTGGGATGAAGGAAGGGTCTGCTGTCTCGGGGCCCACTTCAGTGGGCCACACATAACACAGGGAGGCCCTTTCTCCCCCTTGGGGTGCTGCGAAGGCCTGTGAGAGTCCTCACACTTTGGGCTGACTCTGGAGGGTGGGAACACTGCCCACCTCCTGCCCACTGCAGCCCCACCTGAGCTGGAGGGGCAGGACATGGGGCAGCTACCTCAGCAGCACGAGGGGAGCGCGTTGGCCTGCCCTTTCACCCTCCAGGACAAAGGCCACAGAACTAAGAAAGGACCCACACACCTGGGAAAATCTCAACGTCTCCTTTAACACGACTGCCTGAAACAATATGAAGCTATCTGGCAGGGTCACTGGCAGTTTCATAACCCACCACCAACAGTACATCTCTTCCACTTCTACCCAAAGAAACATGTTACTGTGCACAAATGGCCACATGCAGTGATGCTTGCTGCAGCATGGATTACAGACACCAGTGAGCTACAAAGCAAGTATGGTCACTGGCCACATATATGAAGCACCATGGCGGCAGAGACCTCTCAGCAGCTAAGAAAGCGGGTGCTTTTCCAGAGCACTCAAGTTCAATTCCCAGTACCCACTGGGGCATCTCACAACCACCTGTATGTCTAGCTCCAGGGGACCCAATGCCCTCTTCTGGCCTGCATGGCACCCACATACCCATGGCACACATATACACATCCATTTTTAAAAGAAAAAAATTCTAATAAACTAACAACAAAACCCCCAAACAACCCAACTCAGAGGCAGAGCCTTGAGCAGCCATTTCTCCAAAGACAATGGCCAACAGGAAGATGAAGAGCTGCAGTGCCCACTCATCATCAGGAAAATGCCAACACCAGGAAAAACAGCACGTCATATGCACGCTTATATGTAGGTGTGTGTCTGCGGAAGCCAGAGTTCAATGGCGAATGTCTTCCTCTACACTCTGCACCATCAATTTTGAAGCTGACATCTCACTACCCCTGGGCACTCAGACTGGCTAGACAGGCTGGCCCCTGAGCCTCGGGGCACCTCCTGCCTCTGACTCACATTGCTGGATGCCAGCATGCGCGCCCAGCCCTTCACGTGGGGCTGGGGTCCCAGCGCAGGCTTGAGCAGCAGCACTCCCGCTAGGCCTTCTCAGGATCTTGCTTCTGACGGTGACAGAGCTGAGTGTTGCGGAAGGCAGCGGTGCGGTTTGTTTTCTTAATGTCTGTTAACCATCAGTGATGGTATAGCATGGAGACCGCCTCTGTGTTAGCCTTTCTCCTGGAAAGCAACTGCTATCTCTAAAGCTCTCATGTCACTCACATGAAATCATGTCATATTTTCTTCCCTATTCCTTTTACCTTAACCTCATAAGTTCTCCCAAATGAAAAGAAAAAAAAGCTGTGCTAAAAGTGGCCCTGCTGAGGCTGGAGGATGGCTTGGTGGTTAAGGGAAATGGCTGCTTCTCCAGAGGTCCTGAGTTCAAATCCCAGCAACCACAAGGCATCTCACAACCATGCATAATGGGAACTGATGCCATCTTCTAGCCTGCAGGCATTCATCTAGACAAAGCCCTTATATACATTAAATAAATAGATAAATAAATAAATAAAATAAAATACAGCTTAAAAAAAAAAAAAGTGGGCCCGCACGGCGGTGTGCCACAGGCTCCTTAGCCTTCTGCCAGGCACCCACAGCCCTGGGTGTTTGGGCAGCTGCTGGAGACCTTGCATGTACCCTGTGGTATCTATATTTTAGCAGATGCCATCAAGGACAGTTCAATAGTAAAACACACACAAACACATACACACACAACTGAGTTTAGGATTGGCCAGGTGGCGTGGCAGGGAAGAGCGGTTGCCACAGGTCTAACGAGCTGAATTTCGTCAGGAAGCCAAGGGGTGAAAGAGAGCATGGACCCCCACAGGATGTCCTCTAACCTCCACATATGCACCATGGCATGTGGGTGCAGCCCACACACACATATACAGACAAGTAAGTGTGAAACGTCTTTGCTTGTAGATTTAGTTCACGAAGTTGGATAGATGACTTAGGCTCCTGGGCCCAAGGAATGACTCAGTGTTGAGAAAGTTCGGCTGCACTCTGAGAGCCCTCAGGCTCAGTTCCCAGCACCCATGTGTGCGGCTCCCAAGGATCTGGCCTTCACAGGCGCTCACATACATGTGGAATAAACTCACACAGAAGTGCAAATGAAAAATAAATCCCCACATCTTTCCCAGACACTAAATGTGGCCAGAAGATAGATCACCAGGCCTGAAGGTACTGGCCATATTGCAGGGGCTTACTGGGTGGTTCCAAAGCACATTCAAGAAAGGTCAAACCAAGTTCCACCAGTCAGCAATACAACACGCTCAGCCCGGCTAACCGTGCCAGCCCTGGAATTTGCTTTTTAATCTTTTCTGATAGGCAAAAAGAAACAAAACCCAAGAACCTTTATTTGTATTTCTTTTGTGAATGATCTTGTTTCTTGGGCCAAAACACTCACTTCTTTTAAAACTTATAGTTGCAGTACTTGTGTGGTAGTGTTTTGTTTTGTTTTGTTTCCCCTTAAAAGCTGTTATGAAACGTACAGGTTTTTTAAATAAATGGTACCATTTTTAATTAAAAAACAAAAATGTGGGGCTGGTGAAATGGCTCTGCAGGTAAAGGCGCCTGCCCCCAAATCTCACAGAGTTCAGCCTCAGGACCTTTCTATGTGTGCCGTGAACACACAAATACAACTGTTTTCTAAATCTGATTGTGTGTCTTAGGTTCTTAGTGCATGACCCCTCCCTCGCAAGGTCTTTTCTATAAAGAGGCTACTAAGCCCTTCCTGTCACCAAGACGCTGAAGATGCACGCCCCTCCAGTCCACATTTACCTTTCAGGAGGTTCAGCAGTGTCAAGGACAGGCACTGGTGTGTGTGTGGCCCCTGCTGGTCCCTGGGGTACTGGGTGGTAAAGTCTTCCAGCCACTTGACGAATGCGGGGCAGGCAGACAGGCCCTGAAGCAGCGAGTTCAGGAAGCACGTGTTCCCCAGGTTGACCAGGCCAGGCACAAGCCCTAGGGAGGATTCAGGCAAGGAGAGGACAGCGCATCACACGGGGCGACCTTCTTTTCTCTCCCTCCTGGGACCCGGCGTCTCTGCATGGGAGCCTTCAATTGGCATTCCAACCCGAACGAGCCTAGGGCACTGGACATGGCATGCTGCAGACTGAGCCACGGAACAGGCCTATCCTGCCTGCTCTCTGAAACCCTTCAGGTGCATAAAGGCAGTGAGCATGCCTCCTCTGTCACTCTGGTGCTCTCCTGGACTCTCTCCATCAGCTGGAGAACAGTGCCTCACACAGCTGGCGACTGAGCTGCCTCTGGGGACAATGTTTTGTTCTTGCCATGGTGACAGAGAAAGACACTGACTCTGTTCAATCAGTCTGCAGAGATAGCAGCACTGGCTCACGAGATGTCCTCTTTTCCTCTTCTGCCAAAATGCAGGAGCTCAGTGCACAGAACATGCGCTTGCCTCACCTCAGAGCCTCCTGCCCCAGGATCCTGAGTGCTAACAGAAGTGCGTGCAACCAAGCCTTGTTGAGAAAATGTTTACTATGACATTCCCTTGAAAATACATAATGAGCTTCTCTGCAGTCATTCCCTTGCTTAGCAAGGGTTGGATTTTATAAGACTTTACTACCTCCTCTCCCCTTTTCCCCTTCTTCCCTCCTTTCTCAGAGAAACCACTGATGTGATGTCATCAGTCAGCTGCAGGACTGAAAATACCATCACACATTAATGAGAACACTAGACAATTGAGCCACTTGAAACAAAATCACAAAGCATGTCTTTCTATCACTCTCCCATCCCCCACTTGAGATGGGGTCTTGCCTGTGCAACCCTGCCTGGCCTGGTACTTGCTATATCACACAGGCTGGAGTCAAACTCACCGCATCCTCTTGCTCCAGAATCCTGACTGCTGGCAGTACAGGCATGAGCCAGCAGCCTGGCTAAAAGCATGTCTTAAAATCACCTGCATGAAGGTGCTAAAAAAGAACCTTCCCACCACACGGTGGGAAGTGGGGCTTCGTAAAGTTCCACTTCACAGACCGCAGTCCTCGCTTTACAGATGAGTCGCCAACCACCCAATCCCCAAAGGTCCAAAGACCGAAATGCCGAACCTCATGCTTACCTTTTCTCCGCTTCTTCCTTTCTGTAATGGGACCCCAAATAACATATATTCCCGCTGCAAGGGCAGCAGCAATCCCACCTATCACTCCCCAGTTCTTCATGACTTTATATCTGAAAGAGAAAAGACTGTACTGTCATTCTGTCTCACAGAATGTGGGTACACAGACACTGGCCGGGAGACCTATCAACCAGCAAGCTTGAAACCTAAAGTAATAAGCATCAGCAACCATGTGTCTTGGAGATCGGGTGCCTAAGCACTAAGATGGGCAACTGGGGGTTGTGGGGTGGGGTGACCCTGGGAGTCCTCTTCATCACTCTACCTCACTCATTCAGGCAGGACCTCTCACCTGAATTCAGCAGGGCCAATCAGACTCCCATGCTCTCCCTGTCCAGGGCAGGAAATGTGCAGGCTGCCTAGTGTTTACAGGGCTTCTGGTGACCTTACCTTGGGTCCTCATACTTGCTGCTTGTGCAACAGGCACTTGAACACCTGAACCATCTCCCCAGGCTATCCCTGCTTATTTATTTACCTATTTACTTGTTTTTTGAGACAGAGCTTCCCTCAATCATCCAGACTAGCCTTGAACTCACTCTGTAGCTCAGGCTGGCTCTAAACTCAACAGTTCTCCTGTGTCACCTCCTGAGCAAGTAGAGTGTTAGAGCTGTGGCCTGGCTTTAGAAATAGATTTCTCTTTGAGAGTATTGAACAGTACACCAGGAGAGCTTCCATATATTCATAAAGTTAAAGATTTCTTCATTTCAGGCTTGGCTTGAACACCTGTATTCCTGTACTACAAATATGAGAACTGCAGTAGTGATTCAAAACACGCTCTTATACAGTTCTGTATCTCCAAGTAAGACAAACCACATATATGTGTAACATGTACCCAAATACATCTTACATGTGGATGTGTGTAATTCATTTTTACCTAATGTTTGGAATGTATGAAGTTGATTTCCCCCCTAGTACCAGGGACTGGACCTAGTGCCTTATGCATGATAGGCAATCTACCACTGAGATACATCCCTCATCCTGACTACAATCCGGATCTCAGCTAAATAAACACTCACTGAAAAGCATCACTAGTGACAACAGTAATTGTCAGACAATGGCCAGCATTCTCCTACATCATAGCTAATCATGAATTTCAAATTAATTTTGTTCTTCTAGGATGAGTCCATAAAAGGAAAAAAAAGGAAAAAAAAAAAAAAAGCAGTCTGCTGGGGGAGGCCAGTGACCGTACACCCACCTGGTATACACTCAACAAGGGAAACTGAGGCACAGTGTTGACTGACTAGTTCCTCTACAGACAGGAACTATCATGAGGAGAGTACGATGGCCTGAGAATGAGAAGACTAAGCTGCCGAGCCCTGCTCTCAGGTCAGCTGTTTAGGACACAAGGCCTATTCAAGGCTTATTTGCCACCGGGAGAATGAGGGCACTGGTCAGGACAGCCACTGGGGACTTCCAAGCTGGATAAGACGCTGTTCGATCTGTTCCAGTATCCAAGGAAACCAACCCAAGCAACAGGTCCCAGCAGTCAGGGTGAGCAATGGGGGTGTGGCCCCAGGCCTTGGGAAGATAGACATGGACAGGCTGGGGTACAGACAGGGATCCTAGCAGGAACGAGGAGCCTGTCAGGCTTAGCAGTTGAGGGGCATCCGTAGCTTGGGGACCTGCGTCTGGGACGCAGAAGTGAGAATTCTCAGCAGGGCAGAGGTGGGACACTGGCATATGACAAACTGAGGGCGGCGTACAGGCCTGAGGAGAGTGTGGGCGTGGGGACCGGGTGTGGGGTCACTGCGAAGGGCTGTGGGGCCTCGCAGGCCGCAGCCACTGCAGGGACGAGAAGGCGACGCTGGGCCGCGGCCTGTCCGGGCCAGCTCGGCGAAGGCCTGGAGGCCTTGGGCCCGCCACCCTCCACCCGCTCACCTGACGGCCGCCCCGGTGCGCAGGAAGCGCTGGAGGGCCTTGTCGGCCGCCGTCCTCGCCGCCTGCGCCCGGGAACTCAGCATCGCGGCCGCCGCCGCCACCAGCCGCCGCCTCTTGCGGCTACGGCGTAATGAGGATCCCAGTGCGCGAGGTTTCCAAAGTGGTGGAACCCGCGGTCGCCACCCGGCCTCTGCCGGGGAAGGCAGAATAACGGACCGGAAGTTGCTCCCACCGGACTGCAATACTGAACGGACGCCCTCTCCCGGTTCCTTTTCCCTTAGCAACCGCGGCCTGATTCGTTGCTAAGGGAGGCTTCCGGGGCTTCAAAGCTATGAGCATTCGCATTTGCTGAGGTTTCATTCACAAATGCAGACGCTCCGCCTTCAGGACAGAGCTCGGGTCGTGTTTTCGTGTGGAGAGGCTGTTATTAAATTGGCAATTTAAAAACGTAGATGGTTCCATCTTTGGTTTAAAAAAAGAAAAGAAAAGAAATGTGGGGCTGGCGAGATAGCTCTACCGGTAAAAGCACCTGCCCCCAAATCTCACAAGCTGAGTTCAGTCCCTAGGATCGGATGGTAGAAAAGAACCAAAGCTGTCCAGACCTTCCTGTGTGCGCTGTGGTGCGCGCGTGCGCACAAATACACAAACACACGCATACATACTCGCACATATATGTCCACGCACGCACACACACATACACACATGCACATTACAAGCATGCTCACACATATACACATACATGCAACGCACACACGTGCACACCATACACACACATACACACCCACACACATACATATATACACACAAACACATACACTTGAATGCACACGTGCACAGACATACATGCATATACACATGGACAAACAAGTGCACACACACACACACACACAAGCAGTAAATTAAAATGCAATATCTTAGAAAGCTGTTTCTATTAGGTTCATATGAAGTCCTACACAGTCCCACACAAATGTTTGTGGAATCGCTCTTCAAGACAGCAAAACATGGAAACAAACTAGATACTTATCAGCTGATAAAGCTCTCTGTCATACATTTAATCAATCAATCAATCAGTGTGTTAGAATTTTTGGCTTCCTGTCTGGCACGAGGACGTTGCTGTACAACAGATGCTTACACTTTCTCTTCTCAAAACCGAACTGTGTAGGTCAAGCCACTGTCCCTTTCCCTCTTCTGCTCTAGTAACTACCGTTCTGTTTCTGATCCTGTACCAAGTAATGGGATTATAGATTTATATGATAATTCTCTTTATGTTTTAGACACTTCTATATTGTCTTCTATACCAACTGCACCATTTTTAGCCAATTAAAAAATTATTACATTTATTTATTGGGAGGCGTGTGTCATGACATACACATGGAAGTCAGAAGACAACCTGAGGGCTTCGTTCTCTCCTTCCAGCGTACGTGTTCCAACCTAGGTTTTATCATGTTTGGCAGCAAGTACCCTTACCTGCTGGGCCATCTCATGGCCCAGTTTATAACCGTGCAGTTCAGTGGCGTGAGGGACATACTGCCATTTTTATGTAGCCTTCTATGTGGCAGGAACCACCAAGGCCACTTTTACTCACTATTGGGAATTGAACCCAGGACTTCATGCATGGGAGACAAGCACTCTCCCCACTGAGCTACACCCCATGACCCACTTTTTAGCTTCTGTGAATAGTGTTGCCTTCAAACACTGGTGCACAAGTATCTGCTCAAGCTCTTTCTTTTGATTACATTGAGGACAGACACTGTAGTGCAGTGGAAATCTGTTCTAGTTTCACTTCTGTTGCTGTGATAAAATAGCCTGACAAAAATCAACCGAGGAAACAAAGGTTTCTTTCTTTTCTTTTAAGATTTATTTATTATGTATACAGTGTTCGGCCTGCATGTGTGCCTGTAGGCCAGAAGAGGGCACCAGATCTCATTATAGATAGTTGTGAGCCATCATGTGGCTACTGGGAATTGAACTCAGGACTTTTGTAAGAGCAGTCAGTGCTCTTAACCTCTGAGCCATCAGTCCAGTCCACAAATGGGTTCTCTTAAGCTCACAATTCCTGACTATAGTCTGTTGTTTTAGGGAAACCATGTGGCAGGAATGTGACGTCACATGGTATCAACAACCAGGAGCGGAGCGATGATGATGATGATGATGATGACGGTGGTGGTGGCGGATAAAGATGAATGTGTGTGGGCTTCCTTGCTTGCTTGTTTGTGCTCATTTGATTTCTCCACTCTTACACTATTCAGGTCCTTTTCCTAGGGAATGGTGCTACCCATAATCAACTAAGTGAACTTAAAAACACAAGGGTGGTGGTGCACACTTAATCCCAGCACTCAGGAGGCAGAGGCAAGTGACTCTCTAACGTTGAAGCCAGCTTGGTCTATAAAGGGAGCCCCAGGAGAGCCAGGACTACACAGAGAAACCCTGTCTCGAAGAACCAAAAATAAAAATAAAGAACTTGGATTCCTGATCTTGCTGAGTGCTGGGATTACAGGCCTACACCGCATAGCCAGGGTCAAGTCAGTGATGGGGATGGAACCTAGAACTCCATGCAAGCCACCCCCAGCCTTGCATCAGATGCCTTTAGGACAGTGTCTACCTCCTGAACCACTCAGCTATGGCCAGCACATGTGGTATAGAGCAGACATGGGGTAGACTTTACAAATGAATATGGCTGGGGCAAGCTGTAACTAACCAGTAGGAGGTAAAAAAGTAGCCATGGCAGAGTAGAGGGATGGCTCATTGGGTAGAACACTCGATGTGCAACCAAAAAGGCCACACTTTGAATCCCCAGAACCCACATCAAAGGCCAGTAGAGTGGAGGTCTCCCTGAAGGCCTGGTGTGCAAGGAATCCCAAGAGCAAACTGACAGTAGCTGAAACACCTAGCTCTGGATTCAGGTAAAAGGCCTTGGAGAGAACAGCCAAAGAAGACTGGATGGCAACCTTGTGCCTCCACACCCATGCACACACACACAAAGGCATGCACCTGCACACACATGCACAACCCCACACACGTGAACACAAGCATACACACATACCACAGATGTTCACATGTGGAAAGAGAAGTGGTTATGAATGAGTTAGTAGAAACCACTCAGACTATAAATGCTGATGAGTGATAGTTCAGAGCTCTAGAACTAGATGATTATGTGGTGTCTGTGTACGCAAAGCGTGGGATCCAGGTGTTCCGATTTTGGGAGGCAGGGGAAATGTTAGGAGATGGAGCCTTGTGGGAGGGACTAGCTTCTGGGAGGATGCTTTTCAAATTTTCATATTTATTGTTTGAAACTGTGTGCTGGGGGTGGAGTGTGTGTGTGTGTGTGTGTGTGTGTGTGTGTGTGCAGTGCCTGAGGAGGCCAGAAGAGGGCATTAGATCCAGTGGTGTCCTAGTTACAGGTGGCTGGGAGCCTCCTATTGTGGGTGCCAGGAGCTGAACTGGGGTCTCAGTCTCTGCAGCCCTGGTATTGTGCTTCTGAAGGTTACATCTGGACTCCAGCCCCTTCCTCTTGGCCTCCTGGTTGTCATGGTGCAAGCTGCATTTCTCTGTCACTGGCTTTTGCAAAATGATGCTCTCATCTCATCCCAGACTGAATGAGTGTGGACTGATATCTCTGAACATTTGAGAAAAAAAAAAAAAAAAAAAAGCAAAAGACCCCTTTCTACCTTTCAAGTGTTTGTTTATCCCAGATACTTTGTCACAGCAATGCACGCTGACTGTCACACCATAAATATTTTCTCAGTTTTCAATTTATTTTAGTTAGTTATCCAGTGTTCCGGTAACTCGGATCTTCTACTAAACCCACAGAGGATAATTTTGCTTGAGAGTCTCAAAGAAATCCTGGGCTTGAAGGTACAGAAACAGACTGAGCCTTAGTTTCTGGTCAACCCCTACCCAGCTGAATGTCAGCATGTGACTTATTCACTGTTCTGAGTCCTGTGTCCTCATCTGTCACATGAGGACAGAGCATAACCTGTTCCACGGGAATGCTTGTGAAGAATCTTGGAAACCGCGGAGGTGAAGAACACCCCTGGGTGTTCGGGAGACCTGCTCGAGATGTTCAAGGTATTTGTTTGATTGTTTTGTTTTCTGTTTTTGTTGTTTCCACTTATTATCTTTCGTTCTCTGTGTGAGTGTGGCTCTCTCTGTATGTCTATGTGTGTGTCTCTCTGTTGTTTGTCTCTCTGTGTCTATGTCTGTGTGTCTCTGTGTGTCTGTGTATCTATGTGCGTGTGTGTGTGTGTGTGTGTGTGTGTGTGTTCACCTGTGTGCAAATGTGTATCAGATCCCTTGGAATTGGAGTTATAGGCAGTTGTGAGCCACCCAAATTGGTGCAAGGAACCAAGCTCAGATCCTCTGGAACAGCAGCAAGTGGTCTTAACCATGGGGCCATGTCTCCATCCCCTGGCTTTTATGCTTCTGAGACAAGATCTCACTTTGTAGACCTAGCTGGCCTCAAACTCATGGCTAACTTCAGTCTAGCAAGGGTGAGGACTGCAGGTCTGAGCCACAGCACCTGACTCGGGGTTCACGAGTGTGTGTTGTCCGTCTGACTGTCTGGAGCTTGAAGGTGTGTTAAGTAACGGTGGCTTCCAGTTCTCTGATGGGTGTCCTTGTACTCTATATCAACTCCTCTTCCATTTTGTTAATATTAAAGCTAAATATAGAATAAAAATGGCTTGGGGAAGAGACTGTAGAGAAGGTTGAGAGCCTTGGCTACTCTTCCAGAGGATCCAAGTTTGGCTCCCAGCACCCAGGCGGTGGCTCATAAGCGCTTGTATCTTCAGTTTCAGGAGATCCTACGCCCTCTTCTGGCCTCTGTGGGCACTGCATGCCCATGGTGCACAGGCATACTTGCAGGCAAACACCCACACATATAAAATGTATATGTAAGATATAAATTTATATGTAAATTTTTATATATTTAAAGGTGGTGGGGGCTGTAGAGATGGCTCAGCAACTCAGAACCCTTACTGCTCTTCCAGAGGGCCTGCTCCATGGTTCTGAAACTCAAGCTCCAAAGAATCAAATACCCTTTTCTGACTTCTAGGGGTACCCCGCAACACACACATATGCACACACAAACACGTTACAAAAAAATTAGAAAAGAATGTTTCTCTCTTATGTCCCTGTGATCCTCCACACAATCATGGCTCTTGTTATGTGGGAAGCAGGGAAGCCACCATCTTGGTAGTTGAATATTTCTCTCTTTTCTCCATTTATTCACACTAAGACCAGAAGTTTCCACTCTAGGCTTCTGAGGAGCTAACACCAGGCCCACTCCTACGAGGCTACATTGTCTTGGCTGGAGTCAAGTGATTACAAGCAACTTGAATTCAGAATCACTCACTAGTAGCGCTCTTTCCTCTCTCTCTCTCTCTCTCTCTCTCTCTCTCTCTCAATGGCATCTCACTCTGCAGCTCTAGCTAGTCTGGAATTCACAGAGATTCATTGCCTCTACCTCCAAGTGCTGGGATCAAAGCTGTGCGGCACTATGCCTGGCTCGTTTAACTTTTGAGACACGGTTTTGATATGTGCCCATCTGTCCCTCAACCTGCCAGTAAACCAGTCAGCGTGGCTTTGAACTCATGAGCCTCCTGTTTCACCCTCCTTTATAGCACCTCACCCAGTCATGATGGATGTTTTACTGAGCATGCTCTGTGTGCCGGGCATACTCCTCTGGACACTCGGGACACAGGCAAGAAAGATCAAGGAGCTGACGTTCTAAAGCAGATGGAGTGCTTGGATTCAAAAAGGAAGGGCCTCAAGGCAGGAGCTTTGCCCTTCACCTTTGGTTCTCCAGTAAGGCTGCAATGCTTGCTGAAAGACTGTTAGCCTTCCTTCTGCCTTCTGGCCTTCAGAATCGACACGATCTTTTCCTAGGTCCTCATCTCTCTGGTATCAGTCTTTCCAAACCGTCTGTCATCAGCATGTTACTGTCGCTGAGTAAGTGCTCACCCCCCAAAATCCATACTCCGTTCTAGAGCTTAAGCTACCAGAACACCATACCGACAACATTAATAAATTCTTACGGATATTCAGCCAGGGAGGCTTCATCTAGCAGGCCGGGTGCCCGGCAGACACCCCAGTCAGCGGACCGTGGGCTCCTGGGAGCAGCAAGGCTCGCCCCGCCCCCTCCACCGCGCAGCCCTCCCCTCGTCCTCCGCCCACTCCCGTCGGTCTCCCGGCGGCGGCGGCTTTGTCTCCCGGGCAGGCCTCCCTCCCCCAGCAGCAGCCCAGGGAGGGAGCGGAGGAGCTGTCCGGCATCCCGGTGCTGAAAGCCGGAGCGCCGGCCCTGCTCCACCATGTAAGGGGTCATGCCCAGGCTCGCCCTGGCGCAGCGCGGACATGGAGGAGGACCTGTTCCAGCTCAGGCAGTTGCCGTGAGTACCGCGGGGGCGAAGGGAGGCAGGCGGGGCGCCCTTTAGAAGAGCCTGCAGGGGTGCATCCCCACACGGCCTCTTGAATTGGAAAACGCTGTTACAGACGGAAGAATCGGGCCTGGAGGAGACAAGCCATTTTCCTAGCCCGGCTTCATTTCCCACCCAGATCTGTCAAGACCTTGTGAGAATCCTTCGTTTCTGTGTTTTCCCTTGGAAATTGCTCTCAACCCCAAAAGGGGTTTTCGAGGTCTCTGCTGTGAGAACGCGTTGGATGTTGTTTGGAAATGTGGGCTGAATTAACGAGGGCTGACATCTGTCCTTTCCAGCCTTCCTCTCATACTGTGCAATTCCTAATCTTCCCCCCTGCAAGGTCTTTTGGAAAGGAACGTTGTGATGTTGCAAACTGCTTTCTAAAGAGCAAGGATGCCTTCCTAGAGGAGAGGCTGGGGCAGTTGGCTGTTTGTGAAGCATGTGAATGAGAGGGCTGTGAGCAGCAGCTGGAGACTCCTGCCTTCTGAATGAAGGGTTTGGGGGAGAGCTAGCTAGAGTAAGCCTCGGCATACCCAGTTCACTCTAAGAATCTTGGGGGCGGGGGACAGAGAATGGCGGTGGGAAAGACAGCGGGACTTACAGATGTTTTCCTGCCACAGCAGTGGTGATTTGTTAGGCAAATTCCAAGAGTCTGAATGGGGGTACGAAGGAGAATATTTCCGGGGCTCCTGTTTTAATTTTCAGATTCCCTAGTCGTTTGGCAGCTGGAAAAAATCCATCCCAGTTGGGTCTACTGGAAAGGACTGGATATTGTTAGCATGCGTGTGTGTTGCTGACTTTAAAAATGGTGTGCACCGCCCCCTCCTCAAGCTACTGAAAAATTCTCCCAAGCGATTTCTAGTGTGGCTGAGCCTGCTCTCCGAGGCTCTGAGTGCTCACAGGGGTTGTCACTCTGGCTTCCCAACTCAGGTAAAATTAATTTTCATCACACAGTTTTCGTTAATTTAAATTGTACTTTTTAGCTTTGGTTAATAGACGCATAATGACAACTAATGACAGCGTTATTTCACAGTGGCAAAGGGTGCCCATTTCTAATACCCCCAAATCCATGTGTCATACACACAAAGATATCAGTGTTAGGGTGAGGGTTAAGGTTAGGTTAAGGTTAGGGTTAGGTACAGACCCTTCCAGGAAATCATGCCTCTCTCACTAAGCTGAAACATTGTGTTCACAGAGCCAAACAATTTCCTCCAATAAAACCATAGCCCACTAATTGAAACAGTGTTTGGTGGTCAGAATAAGAACGTGTATTGGTAAAAAAAAAAAAAAAAAAAGAAAGAAAGAAAGAAAGAAAAGAACATGTATTGGAATGCTGGCTTTAGTGGAATGGATTTTCAAAGACCATCAGAGTATGTGAACTTGGCAAAACACGTATGTCCCTTTAGCTTACTAATGGATAGGTATGATATTACAGACTGATTCTTTCCATAACTAAGAAAGAGTGAAAATTAGGGAACCGTGTTATGGCTCATTTAGAGCACTTGCCTACTGTGCACAAGGCCTTGGGTCTCATCCCTAGCCCTGAATATACAGAAAGGAATAGTGAGAATAAGGAAACTTACATATGCAATTAAATGAAGTTGGGTCTAGAGATGTGGGCCTGTCCTGTAATCCCAGCACTTGGGGGACTGAGGCTAGAAAAGCACAGATTCTAGGCCAGCCTAAGCCAAAGCATATCTCAAAAATAAATAATAATAATAATAATAATAAGAAGAAGAAGAAGCAGCCAGGCAGTAGTGGTGCACACCTTTAATCTCAGCATTCGAGAGACAGAGGCAAATGGAACTCTATGAGTTCAAGGCCAGCCTGTTCGACAAAGAGAGTTCCAGGACAACCAGGGCTACACAGAGAAACCCTGTCTGAACTCTTACCTCAAAAAAAAAAAAAAAAAACACTTTCTCAGTGTTTTATAGATAGAAGAACATGTACTAGCTATTAAAAAAAAAAAAAGGTTAAAGTGTGTACTGTCAGAGAACACTGGCCCTGAGCCAAGCAGATTTGGGTTCAAAAAATCTTTTTAAGATTTATTTATTTATTATTTATACATGATTCTGCCTGCATGTGTGCCTGCAGACCAGAAGAGGGCACAGAATTGCATTTATAAATGGTTGTGAGCCACCATGTGGTTGCTGGGAATTGAACTTAGGACCTTTAGGAAGAACAGCCAGTGCTCTTAACCTCTGAGCCATCTCTTCAGCCCCCTTGGGTTCAAATTTTGACCTCAAGTCAACGAAGCTTTCTAAGACCCAGTTTCTCTAGCTGCAGAGTGACAGGGACAGACAGGGACAGACAGGAACAGGCGGAGGGTGGCAGAGTGTGTGGTTGGTGCTCTTGAGTTCTCAGGTTCAATCCCTGAAAGGAAATGACTGTCATAACAATTGGTCCACGTGTTTATTATGAAGGCTAAATGAGATGTGTGCTGAGGGCTTGACAACACAGCGATAGACATTAGCCATTGACCATTGTCATCAAATCTGAAACATTTATAAAAGGTAATCATGTAGATCACTGTTGTTCAACTCCCAAAAATTTGCTGCTTAAAAACCTCCAGGGCTGGAGAGATGGCTCGGCTGTAAAGAACACTTGCTGCTCTTCCAGGGGACAGAGCTTGGTTCCCAGCACCCAAGTTTGGCGGCTCATAAACACCAGTAACCCCAGTTCCAGACACCTGACGCCCTTTCTGCCCTCTGAGGGCACTCGCACACGTGACATACAGCCTTGCACACGTATAGACAACAAAACCAAAATTGGTTTTTAAAAGGACAGGCCCCAGATAGATTTGAATGAAGTCGGAATTAGCCTGTAAATGCCCTGACCTCCGCTTATAAAAACGAAGAAGCTGAAAGAAACAGGCAGCCCTGTGAATGTGAGTGGGTTACACATCACGACTGAGATGTTTCCCAGACCATACCCTGCATATATTATGTGCAGATTGCAGGCAGCAGATTTCCCGAGAGCGATATGGTTTTAAAAAAAAAAAATATTCAGACTGCTGGCAGAAGCAGCCTCTGAAACAGACTTGGTCCTGTGGGAGGTTGGACACTAATAGGCCATAAGCCTGTAAGCAGATTGCCGGGTTGAGGAGGGGAGTGAGCGAGCCTTTCTGAGCGAGCAGTCTTCTGGTGTGCCTGGAGGCCTGCTGCGCAGTTCTGGGATGGCCCAGTTGAGAGGGCAAACGGTCCCTGTTGTTCCCCTATTTGCCTGCAGGGGACACAGGTCGTGGGTGACACAGGTGGGCAGCCGAAAGTTTGCGCGTCATTCTTCCCATCATGGACCCGTGAGAGGCAGGCTTGTGAGGGTTCCCCTTTCCAGGTTGGTGGGTTTTCTTTTCGGTGATGGAGATGGAGCTCAGGGACCCGTGCAGGCTAAACAAGAACCCTGCCACAGATCTGCCTTCCCAGCCCTCGGGTGGCTGTGCCTGTCCTGGAACTCACTATGTAGACCAGGCTGTCCCAGAACTTACTGAGATCTGCCTGGCTTCACCTCCGGAGTGCTGGGATTAAAAGTGTGTGCCACCATGCCCGGGGAACTCAGTTGTTTAACTTTGATACAATCCTTGGTACAAAGGAGTGAGTAAGACAAAAGGGTCCATGCCTTGAAGGAGCTGCAGCCTTGAAGCAGCATGCGGTCACAGCATGAGAGCCTCTGGCCGCATATGCTTAAGATAAATTATACAATTGACATGGGAAATCATTTAGGCAGTGTAACAGTGATCTGCTTGCATTTCTGCCACTGTAATTGGCTGTAGAATCCCTGCACTATAGAGGAGGAAAGGGTTTAACTGGCCTCAGGCCCACATCGCAGACAGTCACTGAGGGAAGTCAAGGCAGGAACTCAAAGCAGCCCACCTGTCATTCCAAGCAGGATTACCTCCAACCCGGCAAGTCACTTCACAACCAAAGTACAGCAGGAACCATGGAGGACGATGCTTTCTGACCTGCTGACCAGCCTGTACTCAGCTGGCTTCCTTCCTTAGCTAGGCGGTTCAGAACTGCCTACCTAGAGAATGGTGCCACCACCCACAGTGGGCTGAACCTTCCTACATCAATTAACAACCAAGATAGGTCCCCACTGAGAGGCAGGCACACAGACCAACCTGATCCGGGCAACCTCCCAGCTGAGGCTGCTCTCTCAGGCTGTGTCCAACTGACAGTTACAGCTGACTGGGATAAACACACAGTGTAAATAAATACACAAAATCTGCCCCTCTGTTTCCAAATGCTCGCCACCCTTCAATGGCTGCCTGTGGCTAGGGGCTGCCACTGTGTGGGACACACATCCAGGCCAGTCCTGTAACCTCACAGGTTCCCCAGGTTCTGCTGTGCAGCCCCGGCCTGGGAGAAGAGGTGGGCATTGAGTGTGTCACACTCATAGCTTTGAGAAGGGTTTGAAATATTGTACAGCCTAGGGCTCTGCAGGGATCCTGGTTCTAGACGGTGATGAGATCAAGGAGAGCTTCCACCCATGGGTGGGAACCATTCAGGAACACTACCAGTGTGGAGCATTCCAGAAAGAGGAGACTTTGCAAGGAAAAGGCCTGAGTGGGAAGAGCATGGTGCGTCTTGCAAAAGACCACCAGGCCGGGACATTCAGGGCCTTAAAGGATGCTTTGAAGTTAGGTCTTCATGTTCTGCCCACAGTCTCTCTCTTTTTACATTTCCTGTATTCTTGATGGAGCATGAGTCTGATGGCTCAGTGAGCCCTTTTCTCACTTCTCCTGGCTTCAGTAACTGATAAACGGAAGATCCAAGCCAGGCAGCGCTGGGTTCAAATCCTGCCTTGGACATTTAGCACCATAGTGGGTTTGTTTGTTTGTTTGTTTGTTTGTTTTGGCCTTTGACTTCATCATCCCAGGGTTAAGTGCTCATCTGTGAGGTTGGGAGCCTGCTTTTATATATATTTTAAATGTGTGTGTGCCTGCATGAGTTTTGTGTGCACTGTATGGAGGA